TAATTTTGCCTCCACGGTACCGCAATGGCACTTCCGACTGTTATTATCAGACGGACGTTATTATTAGACGTACTCTGAGGTTCCACTAGGGTATGCTTTTGGTATGCCCTGAGGTTGGGTCACTGCCTTCGGCGCCAATGTGCCAAAGTAGTGAAGGTCTATTCCTAGCAAAAATGAGGATACCAAATAAGGCGGGCAGTTTGCCACAATTTTCCACACATTCTATTAAAAACATATTTTCATACTAGGACATAGCTATCAAAACCCAGCAAGACTGCTTAAGAACAACGCAGCGCATACGCACCCTCCAAAACGGAGGGGTATTTGAATTTAAATAAAAAGAACATACTCTAGTGAAACTTCTGGACTAGTTACATCCAATCGTAACACTGGGTAATGCCACTACTGCATCATCAAGGCACGGTACGAATATCACTTCTAACTATTCTCAAGCTCAAATTACGCTATCAACGGTTTGTAACAGCACTAAGCTTTTTCCCTGCAGTCGCGACCACCGTCGTCATGACATCGTGCACACATTCACTGGCATGAACAAAAGAACGCTTGTGATTAGCTCGGCGGGCAATGACCTGTTACCGAAAAAATGGTTGGTTGCAGTTTAAACCAGTGCGTCACAAGGATCATGTGATATTCTCACACCCAAACCCAAACTGTCTCGAAAAAAGCCACTGGTAAACGCTACCGGAGAAATCATAGGAGAGAAATCAAAGCCATAGTATAAGGTTTCGTTGAATTCGCGGGATGATAACCTCATGTTCGCAGATCTTTTTTTCTAAACGGTGTTAACACATTTCGTAGCATTTACCCCACAAACATTCTGATACCATTGTGTGTTACAACACCAGAGAACACACACGGTGGAGAAAGCAAGTCTGCGGAAATGTATTACTTTCATTGCGGTGAGCATGAAGTGAAATGACGTTTTCCCCGCAGAGACAGCTACCTCAGATAGAAATTTTGAGTTTTTCAGATGCATTTCGAGAAAACTGGCATTGCTGATCGAATCCTAATCGGCTGATGTAACAATAAATAAAAGTGCAAAAAGGTGCAATACCTCCTTTGAGCACCCTCCAAATACATCTGAGACCGTTGTACGCACCAGGATTATGCGCACTGACAGCAGCCCTGGAGTGAAGCAAATGTACACACATAAAAATATGTGAAAACAGAACTGAAAGGCCACCCATACCGGAAATATATCCTTTCCTATAACCGACAAGGCCAAGCAACCAAGCATGTAATCACGTAACCAGGTATGGCCATGTAACCTACCGATGGTTTCACCGATTTGGGAGACAGTTCGCGACGTCTCAGGTTCGTTAGAACCCATGATTCAAGTTGTGTCGGTGTCGGAGTTAGTCGCGTCGTTGGAAAGATCATCTGCTAGATTCCACCGAAGATATCTTTATAATTTTGGCACCATGCAGCATATCACCTTATGATCTGTACCCAACCTATCTCCTATTCTGTTCCCGAAAACGTCAAAATCTGTTTGTCGGTATACGAATTTACTGACGTAGTACACCACCCAGCTCTCTAATTAGGTGACAGCGACTGCAGACGCCTTCGCCTAAGCCTGGCGCCATGATGACGGGCTCGCAAACCGAAACCTGGGGTTTGAGTCTGGACCAGAGGGAGCCACGTTTCCAGATCTCAGCCCGCGTGTTTGACTTTGGAGGAGTCGTGATCGCATGCCACCTCACCTGAAACATGTTTAATGCAGGATTATTCGCCTCACTGGGATTTTTACTAGCCTACTAAATGCACATTCAGTAGTTGGTTGCATTGCGACATTCGGACATTGTGCAGCCTTTCAGTCGCCGTTCCTGAAGTGATGAGCCTCCGGACGTCGTGACGCGACTTTTGTAAACATTTTTGGTGCCCGTAAAGCGGTCCGATGAGAGCGTAGGAAGTACGAGGCATAGGCAGTGTGTGTAAGTGCACCTAAATTCTAGCACTTACACACAAAGTTACACAGTAAGTCTTCTGGGGAGGGAAGAGGGGGGGGGGGGACCCGGTGAGTGCTGATCAAGCAACCATTGAAAAAACAGTATACACTGCTGAAGTAAAAATGCAGGTCTATGGTGACTGGCATTTTCATATCCTTGGCATATGACAACAACAAGTTATCTGAAAAGTAATGCCCAGTTAAAAAGAACTTCTCACTCCTTGCTCATGAGAACTAGTGGGATTTGAAAAGGGCAATGCATTGATACATAATTTATTGTCCTGATGGTGCTTGCAAAGGCACAGCCCAACTGGGAGAACAGGCAATTTTTGCCTGTGTGCCAGCGACACACCTAGACTGACACAGTGGTGGTGTAATGTAAATCTAGGGCATGTGCTGTGGTGAGTCAGTGGGTATCACCAGCAGCATTCTTGTCATCACTGAACATCATTTTGGAAACCTAGGTGCTTTTTGCCAGCCTCCAGGATTTTTGATGGATGTGTAAATCTGCTGCCTCAAAAGCCTTCCATTTTGGAGTATGCATGAGGCATAGCCACCCTCCATTTTGGAAGGTGACTTTGGGCCTGGTGTATGACTGCTCCCCATTGTGGAGGGCACATGTGTACAAACAGCTGTGATGATAACAGGCATGCCCATAACACTACATGTAATAGTAACAGCAATGGTAACATTTTACCTAAGTAGTATCTGATGCTCAACTAAATGCAGACAATAAATCTATGTGAAATACCTGCACATGGCAATGTCTCAAAATTCACTGCACTGTAGCACATGCTACAGCATGCATTTGTAACCAAGACCAATGTGAGCACTGGGTGGCAATAGTACTTTAATTACTTTGATGCTGGCTCTTCCATTTTAAATGGGCAGCATATTATAATATTATACATATTATATAGGACAGCATATTATAATAACAATAATAACTCAACAACTAAATCTTAAAAAGTACCAACATTATTCACTTAAAATGCATCAGTCATAAAATCAGCTTTTCTAGTACAGTACTGGATGAAAAATTAGCATCATCACTTCTCTCTCCAGTCAAAGTTGGCTTTTTAGCTCACAAAGCCACCAATCACCATCACAGAAAACAAACCTACTATGCACATTCAGTATTCCTATACAGCAAGGTGAGCTGACAACCTCAAGGCCCAGTTGACTTATGGCCCAGGCTTCCCCCATTGAGGTAGCAGCCTATGGCATTGCAGACATGCACTGATGAAAAACAGCTTTAGTTCCAAACACAGGGAAGTAGAATCAGGTGATGCAAGGCTGTGGAGACATGCAGCATGCAGGAATACCACAAATTCAATTGAACAGTTATTGGCAATATGAAAACCATTCAGATCAAGTTTACCCAACACTTATCTGACTGGCACATTTACCTAACAGACAAAAATCACAACAGCAGAAAGTTGTCCACTGTCAAGTGCTGTGATGCAAATGGTGATGGCTTACTTGTTAACAAATAAACTTATTTTGCCTGACTTTGCCTCCCAGCTAAGAAGGAGATAGGCTTGGGCCATAATACCATGGGTAACCAATGGGTTTGCTCAAACTAGGGAGAAGGCTTCAATTTAAAAATAAAGAATGGGCCCCAGGACAAGCAAGAGAACTCATGCCTAGAAGCAATGCCTCAACAACATCTTGATAGAATGTTAAACAGTTTTCTGTGCTTACAAAAGTTTTACCAGTACAGGTGGGGGTCTAAACACTGAACAAACTCTGCATTTTAAGTGGGTAGCACATTCTGTGTGGGCATACCAGCTGTCAAATCATACACATTATACAATTATCCCACAGACAGCTGTTTCCACACTTCCAAGAGTTTCACATTGTGAGGTTTGTTCCACAAATACAAAGATGAATGTGTTTCTTTGAAAAATAAATATACAGAGATCACTTGAGGATAAAAAGACTATAGCAAAAAGATGGCAGAGATCACCTCACGGGATCTACATAGCGACACAAATGTGATTTACTATAGGCATTTAAGAACCACCAATTGTGCAGGAATGATGCATGACATTGTGTATGTTATCACTTTTAGTATGAATGGTAAATATGTTTGTCGTATTATGATCTCAGATGATAAAATGGTCCAATATTCTGCATGCTCCATCTCTAAATGCCTCATATAGACAATTTAGAGGCTTAATGATTTAGGTTCTCTAATGGTAGTCTACTTCCAACCTTCACATGGCATTTATCTTTTAATGCAGGCACAATATGCCATAAAGCCTTAACATAAAATATATTTTTTGCTGCTGCAGCAAATATCTTTTGGGCATGAAACCATGTGGCATGGAAAGTATCAGCCATAAGACTTCAAATTTTAATCACTTGCTTATAACTGTGTTTCTTTATCTTGTGCTTACCAGCATCAGGTGCCCCTTCCTATTGAAAAGGCACTTGGTTAGTGCCACATGGTTGGTGTACACACATGGATGTTAGACATTTCATCTGCAGATAACTGACCTTAGAACCCAGTCATTTCAAGGACACACACAAGAATACCCAGATATCAATTGGTGCACACATAGCTAGACATTTTGTCAGATATTTGATTGCAACATTATCAGGTTGTCAGACATTTGATCTATAGAGCATTGGGCTTATTGCCCTCTGGTACCAAGAATACATGAACACATTGTTTCAACAAAACATAGGCACTTCATCACACTATGGGGACACCAAATGTCTGACAAACCAGCATGTTTGTCATCCATGGGATTTTCCATTCTAAGTATCTTATAGGTTAAGGTGCATACCTACATATGAGGCAGGGCAGTGGGCACAAATGTTTCATGTAACCAACTGTGGATGGACTGCAGTTCTTCCACAAATGTACATACACAGGTCATAAAGCTGTCAAGAGAAAGAGAATATGCTTGAAATGAATGACGGAATGGATGCTACGTTCATTGCACTGCTACACATCACTTGCGCTAAATCTAGGCATTCGCAACTAATCCTACGCCATTGAGGCTCTAAACATCGCACGCACCTTGGTCATCCGGCTACATTGTGAGAAGATGGAAACATGGCTCCCTGTTGTGCTTCAGCTGCGTTTAACAGCACACACCAGCACGTGAAAAATGCTATTATTATCGAAGATACCCACACCCACATTCACCTTTTACATGAAAACAGCATTCATTACACTTCAAGTACTAACTAAAGTTGAAATATGGATATCGGTGGCACTAGCTCTCCTGGTGAGATTCAATAAACACTTTATATCCCCAAAAATGATTAATCAATTGTGATTACAACACCCTAAAAACTTGAAATATTTGTCTTTTATATTATTATTTTACATACCTTTTTTGGTATTTTTGGACAATTATGTGTGTAATTGTAATAAATGGTATTACATTTTGTAGTTCCTACATCCACCGCAATGAAAAGGTATTATTTGTCGTTATCCTTCCCTTAGTCCTGTATTCTAGTGTTCCAGCTGATAGGCATAGCATACCAAAACTGAGATATTGTTTAGGGGTTTCATGTCTGGCCGAACCCAGCACTTATACAGATTTGATAGGAATCTCAGTGAGAGACCTGAAATCACTTCCACCCAGCTTTTAAAAACCGGAGTATATTAACGCCAGTAACACATTTATCTCCTAAGTCAATATTCTACTAACTATCTCTGGGTGTGCATTCCAGTCTTTTACATCAATAGCGCAGTACATACGATTATGGGTTGTCTGCAGGGAAAGGCGCCAGCAAAATGAAAAGCGTAGGAACGTCCGTTGGATTCGGTTGCGGGGGATGGTCGGTTGGAAGATGGGTTGTCTTGCGTTGTGTATACTTGTTAGGTCCTGATTTTTTCAAAACAAATTTATGACTTTGTCAAGGAAGGCAACATTTCAGCTCCAATGAAGGCTCAATTACAAGGTTTTTATCCATTTTTCTAGCTCGTGTTCATTGCCTCAGTGATGCCGCCCATGTGCTAACGAAGGCATGTGTAACTGTGTTAGTGCCAGAATACTGGGGTGGCAGGTAAGGGGTAAATGGGTAGCTGCCTCACAACTCTGAGTAGCATTTACCATTAACCCCATGACAATTCAGGGGACAAAACAAGGTACAGGTTATGTTTGCTGTCACCCCTTCTCTAGATGTTTTCACCACTGCTCAAATGGCATGCCTCCTTGGCCCCATGTTTAAATTTAAGCTTTGCAGAATCACAACAACTTGCTAAGTGATGGTATGATGCATCACATTATTCCTAAAGGCATGGTAGGAGTCGGGGGTCCGCTGCAACTTTTCTTGGAATCTTGGAACCCCCACCCAAGCCTGTTTCTTGCCAGAGATAACAGAATAGTGCAGGGATGGTACAGCAGGCAGTAGGAAAGCAGCTTCCCCCACTGGTTGCCAAAGGGGGTGTGTTTTTTCCCCTTCAAAATTCTGGGAGATGCCATTTGGCCAAGCTGAGACTTTGTGGTTACACATCTCACCAAAGTCTGGATTAAAGGGGCCTGTCAGTAAGCTAGCATACACCTACTGAATCAGGTCTAGATATCTCTTTAGGCCCAATTTTGTGTTCAGGAGGCCCCACATACTGATTTGTTTGGCCCCAGCTATAAATGAAGAGCCCTCTTACTCTTGATAAGGAGGCACCCTCTGTATGTCAGGAGACCCCTTTTCTAAAACAGGATGTATTTCTTTAAACCAGGAGGCCCCTCTTATATATAAGAAAGCTGTTGCTTCTCATCAGGATGCTCTGTGATAGGAGAGTGAGGCTCTGCCACATTTGGAGATCTTCTTTGTCAATAAGAAAGATCCTGTTCTGGTTTGTCCAGGAGACCCCTGGAATAGTCTGCCTCCCTTCCCCAACTGTAGAAATGTTGTGCCACCCCTGGAAAATTAGCATTGCCTGCCTAGTAGGGTTCAGTCACAAAGTGCAAACATTGGACTACATGCTACTGTTTGCAAAGATGGCAGTGAATTTTCACATGTTGTGTGATGGTGATTTTGATAGGATTATGTATATTGAACTGTTAATTTAGCTATTAAATGCCTTCTATTATCATATGGCATTTATATGCCAAAATTATATATATAGCAAACATTATTGTATGGCAAAATTTGGTGTTCTTATGTCATGGCCTTTAGGTCATATAAGGTCAGACAAGGTCAAACTCCAGATGGGTGTCTTAGGTGCCCCCATACCTCCTCATGCAACCACTGTGAAGCTAGATATATGTTCTATAACAATGTATCTATGAGATTGCACCTGTATTGCCATTCAATGAATCATCAGGGATTGTGTTAGACATATGCTCCCAAAAACAAAGTGTTGATCTTTGTCATTTATGGTCAGTGACCTACTCAAACCTTTAAAAAGTCCATGGAAAATTTTGTTGTAGTCCCTGTCATCAAAAGGTCAGCACCAGAAACTATCATATAGCCAAGCTTTCAGGCAAAAACAGGTCTGTCTTGACTTTGTTCTGATTTTCATACCTGACCCTGAGTCAATGGAATTGGTTGATTTTCTAAATCCAGTTGGTTCAGTACCTAAGAAATTATCTCAGATTTGTATGGCTTCATCTAACCCTGTTGTTGCATCACATTCAGCAATTGCCAAGAAATGCCCATCATTGGTACCCATGACTCAACTTCGGCCTGCTATAGGTCAGAGACATTACAAGCTACCTTGAATTTTCTCACATCAAATGATTTGCTATTCCAATTTGCTTCAGCTATGTAAAGTTTGGTGCAGCTGTGCTGTGGGGTTCAGAAATTATTCTGGAAAAAGCCATTAGGGAGGGGATCAAGGTGGTGCCCCCCACATCATTTATGTAATGCACTGCTTTAAATGCAATGTGGTGCACTGTCCTCAAATAAATTATTGGTGCAATGCACTACCTTACTATCTTACACACAGCAAGACAGAAGTTTCTCTGGCCACACTGTGCACCAAAGGAACTTCTGATGTAGGTCTCTCAGCACCCTGCTCCGGCTATGTGAGCCCTAGACACATATGAAAGGAAGGCATTCCCTTTCATTTGCATCATGAATTCCAAGCAATCTTCTTTGAAAAGTGCCTCAGCATTTTAATCTGAAATTGTGTGGTGCAACTGAACTCTTGCCACTGCCGTGATCAAAATGTTCGTTTTATGCAAGGTGCTTCTAAAAGGCTTCATCATTCAAAGTGCTCTTTCAGCAATGTGACAACAGCTGAAGTGATTGATGCTCAGCTGCAGGTGGTGATGGCCTGAGCGCTGCCTGAGGCAGGGACGCACCAGTGATGGCTGAGGCGGCTCATCTCACGGAAACGGCATCGGGCCGGCCGACCCTGTTTGAGCTTATCGCTGTGGATGGCCTATTCACATCACTGCACCCAGCTGTTCAACACATCTGCAAGGTTGGTCAGCACTCATGGCATTTGTGCAGAGTAGATCAGGCAGCCATGGTCCAGGATGTCTTAAAACTAGGTCATGGCAGCACGTCAAGATATTTATTTGTGGGGAAGGAATGGTCGCTACAGTCATACAACACATAGATTCGGTCAGTCTGACATTCAGGTTGTGGTGGAATCCCAGGCAGGCACACTGTGGGCGGGATCGGGACTTCGTAATCACATATTATGTAGCCAGGCTGAAGTGTACGAATGTGCCACGCATATTAGTAGGTAATGAAATGTCCCACTTTTGATACGACTTAAATTTGTGCTGATTGACTCTTGTCTCCTGGATCAGTTTATGTTATGCAGTATCTTTATGATGGGGAGCATGTTTTGTGTCTCGTCAGCTGCTCAGTATGTTCAGACACGGCAGGTTTTTACCCCATGCTGAGTATGTCATATATTGTCGATCGCACAGCACGCTGTACGTGATTTTCTCGCCACTTCGCTGCGCATGTTTTAATGTTACACATGATGTGCTATTTGCTCCTTTCGTTGAAATACAAAAAGATGTTTGTGCCTCAGGAAATACAGTATAAATGCAATTTCGTCATTGTTAGGCAAGTTCGACTGGTTTTTAGAGGGGAGGGGGGAGAGAAAGAGAAGTACCATTGGTGTGAAAATGTTCGTCCGGCTGTCTGTCGACAAACGGCGCACTTGTGTGCCGATATTAAGGCTTAATCGCCGGAAACAGCGGGACTGATTAGCCCCCAGCCTTTACTGCCGGCTTCACCGGCTCGGCGACAAATTGACGTACGCATCCGGCTGGGTGGCTTGTCTGTGGCACGTGCTGTACGCGCGCGACAGAAGCTCCGAGGGTTTAATTGCGGTGGGTCACCGGCCGAAATGGCGAGCTCGGTGACCCGTTGTGCTAGCTGTTGTTAAAAAGTGACAGCAAACAGTAAAATATGTTACTGGCCCGGGGCAATTTTGTTTTCGTTAGCACTTTTAGGTGTTTATCGACCCGAATAATTCAATGTGATACACTAAAGTATGATGCGTTGAATGCGTGGTGGCGAGTTTTGAAATAGAATTGTAATGAACACTGAAAACCGCATGTGAACGTTGGAATGCCCATTCATTTGAATCAAATGTAGAAGTTCGGGGCTCTTATGCATGCGACATCTTTTATGCCTTCTTTTACTTGTGCGTTTGTAAAAAAGTTAGCAACGGCTTATACAGAATGCTTCACTCTCCCCTGTTCTGATTTGTATGGTAGATCCATATGTTGTAGATCTCAGCAGGTTATTCATGTTCTTAGAAAAGGCGTTCCCTACATAGCCGATGGCTTCGGCTATTTCAGATGATCGTCACTCGCTATCCTCGCACCCAGTTCTGGCTCGATCAACACTTCGATGAACTGTTCCTGCTGGCAAATGCGTTCGTCCAGAGACACTACCTCTTCACGTACGGTACGCACGCCATTGCATTTGTTTGGAGACATCATTTTAAGTTACGTTAAACCATTTGCATGCTTTGGCAGGCATGTGTGACAGAATGTACCACTTGGCATACCTATTCAAAACGCTATGAACTCTTGGTACTTTGGTGCGCCATAGGGTGACAAAAAAAGCAGCGAGAGGCCATTATGGGATGAACCAGAATCTCCGCTCGAGTCAGCCCTAACATACAAAATTTTGCGTTACGAATGCGTTGCCGATTGTGCTACCCCTCATGGCGGAACAGCGATAAGGCTAGATGTAGTTGGCAAGGCGATTCGCGTGTTGAGAGTGTTCATTGGCACGGTTTGGCTATTAATGGTAAATAAATCCAACAAATTGTTGTTAGGTGTCTATGTTCTTGTTGAATGTAGCAATACAAGACACAGATCACAGCGACTTATCGAACGTGTAATTCCGTATGGGCCGACGTTGTGTGCCTCTCGTTACGCTGAATTGCTTACTAGCAAGACATCATTTGCGACGCGGGATGGGCGAGGTGATTACAGGCGTAATTGATGGCGCCATGTAGATGGTATCTAAACACAAGGAAATGGATTCATTCTTTCGAAACTGATGATAGCCAAACACAAGGGAATGGATCCATTCTTTCAAAACTCAAACGATTGTAACTTACCAGTGCATGCAGTGAATGATCAGGATGCAAGAGCGTAGCAGACCGAGGTACACTGATCTTTACCGTCAGCGTGCAATTTCACAAACCGTATTGTCTGAACTTTGACCGGCTTTGAGTGAGGCCTGGTCGGAGTAGCTGTTTTCAGTTGTGACAATCCAGCATTTCAGGATTCCGCTACAATTTTCAGAAGTCTGTGGCAATTTCTGGAGTGCGTTGGAAGTCATGTTGGAAATTACGGGGGCCCTCAATGACGTCTCCAAAACGCAAAACTTATAACGCACACGTTGTCGCCGCCTGTCAAGAAAGCTGTCACACTCAGGCCCAGCAAAAAGGCTTATTTGTTCGTTTAACCAACATGCAATGGTGCTTGCATGCTTTTAGAGCAAGGAGTCGTAACAATTTTCCCGTGTGAATGCTAAAATCTGATTGTTGATCATTTTTTTCACAAGCGTCATTGCGGTGGTACGAGTCCATGACTGTTGTTTAAAGGGAATGCTTCACCTTTGGGGCAATTTCTAAAACATACTCTGATGAAGGCTCAGGACTAGACACGTTTAATAATAATACTGGGTTGTGTCACTGCAGCAGCGTCAACACATCATCGGGGAATCAATTTTGATTATTCTCAAATTACGCTGTCAACGTTTTGTAACGGCACTACACTCAGCGCTACTACGCGTTTCCTCTGCAGTCGCGATCATCGTCGTCCTGGTAACCACCGTGCGTACTTACTGGTGTGAATGAAATAACGTTTGGAATTGGTCCAGCGGGCAAGGGCTGTCATCGAGAAGTTGGTTGAAGTTTGAACCAGTGCGTCACATAGATCATGTGATGTTCCGTTTCCCCGCGCCCAAGTGCGTGTCAAAAAGCCGCTGTGGCTAACGCCATAGGGAGAAATCAAAGTCATCGTATGACTTTTCGTTGAATTCGCGGTATAAAAGTTTTATAATTGCAGGTCTTTTTGCCTAAGCAGGGTCTTCCAAGCTTTCGTATCACTTATTATACAAACAGGGTGGCACGCTAGTTTGTTGCAAACAACAGAACACAAAGCGTTGACAAAATCAGGCAAATTAAATGTATTACTGTCATGGTTGTGAGGAGAGAGTCAAATGAGAATGCTCTCGCTGGGTCGGCTACTTAAGATCGACATTCTGAGCTATTCAGAAGAATTTTGAGAATGTTGTTGTTACTGATCGAGAAGTGCGCGTCTGATGTAACAGCCAGTGAAAGCACCAAAACGGTGGGATACTTCTTTAACGAGCATGCCCGCCTGATGATAAGACCAGCGAAAAAACCGCGTGTCGCAGTTGACATCAGCCTCAATTCTTTATTGCCGTAGCTGATGGTAGGCGTTCGTTGTTAATAACCGATATTTCTTATGGCCAAATATCGTAAGAAATTTATTTTTCAACCCACCCAAAAATGCATCACTTCCTGCAGCTTCGGCAACTGAGTGCACCTCAGACAGTTTCACGCTAAGCCCTCGCAGCAGGAAATTCAAGAAATTGGGCCTGCTGGTGTCGCACGCGGAAGAACAAGAAGTGGGAATTAACACGCACCCGGTTGGCCGGTTGGATACTCTTCGCTGGGATGGGATGGTCAATTCCCCCCCCCCCCCCTGAGCTCTCGGGAGCTAAGGGAGCTAGAGACACCAAATTCACAGGGTGTGTTGACCGGTACGTGGACTCACTGAGGTCAAAGTTTGGGGTTCCTAGGTCATGCTCTTCGGGTCAAATAAGTTAAAACAAGGTTAAATTCTAGGTTGGCATCTAAAGGGCCCCTAGAACCTAGATAACTGTTCTAAGCAAAAGTCCTCATGCTTATCTCAGATTAGTTACCTTGTTTGACCTTTTAAAGGTCATGGCGACCAAAATCATACAAGACTGCCTTGAGTTTTGCATTTGGATAAGCGACAAAGATTACGCTTGGCGGTATGTTTCAAAAAATGAAATCTGGATCGGGGTTATTCTAGGTCAGTGACCTATTCTGACATTTACAAAGTTCATGGGAGGTGTATAATGCGGTTCTTGTTATCAGCACATTTGAAATGAGCACCAGGAACCACCTCATACAGCAAGGCCTAGAGTAATACAACAAGTTGGTTTGGACCTTGGTCTGATCTTCATACCTGACCCCAGGTCAATGTAATTTGTTCATTCAATTGTTATGTTGCCTAAGAAGGTATCTCAGAGATGTATGGCTTCGTCTAACACTCCGTTGTTGGATCAGAATGAACGATTCCATAGAAATTTCCTTCGCTGAAACCACGGCCTGACTGTTACCTGCCTTGGGTCAGCGACCTCCGTCGCGCCGCTCGGAAACTATTCCGGGAAAACCTTCGCGGGAGGGCCAATTTGACCGCCACCCGAATGCGCGTTAAGTCTGACGCACCGTGTGTTATCACATGAATGCATGCATGTATTTACGCATTTACTTGTTCCGAGTTAGTTCATGTACCCAACATCGCGACGAACTGAACAGCTGGTTCAGTTACAATTTACACACGGATAGGCCATTTTTTAAAGAAACGCCCCTAGGCTGCACGGTTCGCACGATCAATCTATAAACAGGTCGGCTCACTTGCTCGAAAGTGCCTCGCCGATGTTAAGGCCTACCATCTGGCGGTAGATGATTCCACGTGCAAGTGGCGCGGCACAGGAACACCCGGCGGGTGAGTTCAGTTCATACACGTGGGTTCTTTTTAGTTATAAACGCGGGGTTTTCATTATTTTATTGTTATTTATTCATAAGTTTGTACGGAAGGCGTTCAGAGCGTCGCGTAAGCTGGGTAGACACATCAGCGCGCAGGACCACAAAGGCACGTAGACTGTCTAGGCCATTGGCGGTCTTAGTAGGTGTAGAGAGTAGGAAGGTCGCGCTCGGCCAAAAGTTCGGCAATTTTGAGCCACCTCGAACGTTTTTTTCCAGGCGGGAAATAAATGTTCGGATTTCTTGGTTCCACTAATAACTCTGGCGCCAAAATTTCATCCTTTTGAATGCTGTTTTGCGTTTAATAGCGATCACCCCGCGCTGTGAGGCAGTATCTTGTGTGGGGATGGACGAACGCTTCAGTTGCAATCTTTCTGGTTTCAGTTGTAAGGTGATGGCAGTTAATGGCTCAATTTCGCAAGACCTGGTAGAGTGCTATAGCATCGACTCACGGTGGCTGATACCTCACACTTCTAATTTAGGTTGGCATCAACAACATTTCTGAGGACCTTTGCTGAAGACGAAGGGTTAATTTTTGCCTGCCTAAAGTAGGTCCCGAAATTTTTCCCAAACTTAAGTCGAGATGATTTTACGAACAGGTCACTTTTGCGAGGATTGATTTCGAGAAGATTTTGCGGGATCATTACTGGGTCACGAACCCAGGAATCGTTAACCTTATTCCATCTATGCTTCTCCAGGAGCCGGTAATGCTGAACTCTGTCCAAAGATTTCGACGTGTTCGTCGTCAACGTTTTTATTAAGCCACAATCCATGTTACCCGCTAGCAGGTCAACAGTTTTCAGCATCGCTTACTCTGTGGAGTGACCTGAGTATGGTCCAAACCCAAACCTAAAAGTGACCCAAACTATGTTGCTGGGGACATATAGCATGCTTGTACATGTATGATCAGGAGCGTCACGTTATGTACTTTCGGGTGGGCTGAGCCTCCCCCCCCCCCCTCTCACCCACCCAATCCTGAAAAACTGCTGTCTGAGCGCTTGGAAGGTGTGTTCGATATTTGTATGGAGTTTTGAACTGAAATAGCCATATTGAGGAGCTTTTGGTGCGGTCGACAGCCCACCCTTCTGAAGGCCTAAACCCCTCCAGTTTCAGAGTCACACGCCCGCGAAAATGTGCAAACTGTTTCGGGGAGACTATTTCAAGCTCACCGAGGTTTCAAGGTCACCGAGGCACCTATGATGTCATCATAACGTTATTCAAATTTTGCCATTCTATTAGCCATTCAGCATTTAAGACAAGGCAAGTAATGTGTCAAGCCGTTCACATTTGGCGTTCATGAGCACGATTTTCATATATTACGGCCATCAACTGGCTCTCAATCAATGTTGTGCAAGGGACGATGACGTAATCAAGCAATAGTGTGTCGAGAAGCGCATGCACGAGATGGAGAAATCATTTTGTTTAGATCAGTCTTTTTTACTTGAATGTATATCACTGGTTAAAAGTGGACTTATTTTATTTTGGACCACTAGAGTAATATTTTATCATATTTGATGCTTGATTCGATGTCTCCAAATGTGGACACTCCTTTTAAAGACAACGCCAAAATAAAAGTTAATCTTTCACGACATCGCGGAGATCTCGTTGGCTGCACGGTGGCGCAAGTGGAGATGCTTTGTGTCGGTCGTGGTTGGTTTTCAACGCATATCACGATCATGAAATCATCACACGGTTGAAAGGATCTGGTATTTTGGATGACATAAGGCACACTGCGTTCCGAACAAAACAGGTTGCTATTTGTTATTTTGGTGACGCTCGTAGATTATATATATATATATATATATATATATATATATATATATATATATATATAATGTGTGCGTGTGCGTGTGCGCGTGCGCGTGCGCGTGCGTGTGCGTGTGCGTGTGCGCGCGTGTGTGTGTGTGTGTGTGTGTGTGTGTGTGTGTGTGTGTGTGTGTGTGTGTGTGTGTGTGTGTGTGTGTGTGTGTGTGTGTGTGTGTGTGTGTGTGTGTGTGTGTGTGTGTGTGTGTGTGTGCGCGCGCGCGCGCACGCCGCACGCCGCAGTTCTCGTTTGCGCCACCTAGCGGTGACTCTCGTTACAGTGTGCGCCCCGTGCCGCTGCAGCGTAATGACGGGACGGGAATGATGTGCGTGTTCATTCGGCAATGCTGCCGCAGCAGAAGCGTAATAACCCGAAATTCATCGTGCAGTTTTGCGCAAGATAGATTGCGGTCCGTTTCCTTGGAGTACGACGATGGTTATGCAGCTACCACTGTATCGTGTGTTATAAATTAGAGACTGATGTTGTGTAATTAATACATGTCACCGCCGTCTAGGTGTTTGCCAGCTAATATTGGCTGGGGTGAGCCACCAAGGTGATGACGGGAACGGCAGGTCCCGTGATTGAGGAGACAGGGAAGGGGACTTAAACCGCGTATCTCATAATCAGTGAATTGAATCCTACGTGTTCGATGCTCAGCAATGAAGACTTTGTGCAGCCGCATGTGCGTGCCGCATGTGCGTGCAGCACGTGCGGCTGAATGTAGTCATACCTTAAACTGAAAGTAGGCATACCTTAAAGAGCGCAGTGGAATATTTTACTTGAATACATCACAGAAAAACCTAATGCGCTTCCAAATGCAATGTCCTTGTCGTCCTACATGCAATTTGTGTTGTCGTCGGAGCATTGCTTTGTGCTTCCTACAGTAATCCTTTAAAGGCCTGGTGAATACGTAACTTCAAAGGATTGAATGATTCAGGATCCTGGTTGACGGCATTGCGAGCTTTTACGCCGACATTGACTAGTCTGGAGCTTCTGATGCCGGGATCTCGTGTCAAGATGTCAAGCGAGTACTGAAATGCTTCCAGAAATACTCCCTGTGTCTGAAAACGGTTACGGTTGTGGAGCTACGTTGGTTAGCTAGTGTCCTTGTATCGAAACGATGCGACAGTATGCACAGTTCATGCTGTTAGTTCCATGACAATTCTTTGTTCGGTTCGGGAAATGTCACTGCCACTATTGCTGCCAGTAAGCATTGGTTTTCCGTGTTGTGGTGTGCTGTTGCCAGTTACCTCTCTGTTGCTGCATGGACGTAAATCGTTAGGTTTGTTCCATGTACTCGCTTTCCGCTCCAATTCCGCTCCATGTTCTTCCATGTACGCGCTTTCCGCTTCACTTCCGCGCCATGTCATTCCATATACGCGCTTTCCGCTCCATTTCCACTCCATGTTGTTCCATGGACGCGCTTTCCGCTCCACTTCCGCTCCATGTTGTTCCATGCACGCGCTTTCCGCCCCACTTACGTCGACCTCGGTGTGCTTCAAGCTGGGTCACTGGCTGAAAACTTCTATGGCATCAAGCGGACGCCGCTCGGCGACAGTGGCCAGGACCCGAGACTCAAGTTGTCAGCCCTAAAAGTCTATCGCAGCCTTCTCTGGTTGAGCGGCTTTCCGTACATCAAGACGAAGCTGGACAAGCTATTCGAGGACCTGGAGCACGAGCACGCTGGTGGATTGACTTATCAACAGGTTTGGTAAACATTGGTACACTTGTCTTCATTTCAGTAAAAATAAGTGTGAAATGTACCTTATGTTTAAGCATTCAGCCAATCGCGTGTGACTTGTTGTAGTGCTGATTGACCTACTGCACCAGACTCATGCATCTCGGATCGTTGAAAGGGAACCTTACCGATATATTGTGGGCCATGTAAGTGGTCCAGAAAAGGTACATAGGACCCAGAGACATATCCAGCAAGCTCTCCCTGCCGTGCTAAGAAATCACGCCGTGTATTATTTCTGAGATTAGTGCACGGTTTTGCCTTTGCACCATAGCTCTCCGGCATCCTGTGTGGTGCGTACCTACTGCCAGGAATGTTTTGTTGCCATGAAAACTAGTGATGAGTCCATTCAGTGCAGAATGGTTTTTCGAAACTCCCTGTTGATTGGTATGTTACTTCTGAATTCGCTCTTGCTGACGCTGCAACTCGGTATTACTGCAGTGAGAATGCATGCATGTCATTCTTATATGGCAGTCAAACTCTAACTGCCGAATGATAGATGCTTCTGTATACAGCGGGGTCAAGCGTCTGTCTAAAGTATGTAAAGGTTTCTGCTCTAAGCCTGTGCTCTGAAACCCACCGGATGATAGCTTTAAAACAAAACAGCCTCCAAAAGGTTTGAGATCTTCCTTTTGAAGGCACAGGAGGATGACAAGAATTCTTAGACAGATCTTGCCTGCCAAATTACATGCCAGCTTAGAATTCAGTGGAACAAAGTTAGATGCATGAAATTAGACTATGTAAATCTAACACTGAACGGAGACGCTTGCGAGATGACAGGATGTCAAATACCGGACTTTCCCAGCTAACCGCCACAACGCCAGGTCTGCTGTGGTTTATTTCACTTCAAAATGTCACTGACAACAAATGGTTGCGCACTGAACAGTACGGCTAGATACAGGCGACATCCAAGGCTCGCTTACGTCCGAAAGTTAACATGAACACTCCTGCAAGCAGGCATATATATATTCATCGAGTTGCAGCTGAATGATCGCACAGTTCATACTTCAAAGGCGTGGGTGGTCAAGTGCAGAGTGCCGGAAGGAAAGCGGTGTAGAGTTGTACGACGCTGTGCAGGAGGCGTCGCCTACCCGCCTCCATTATCACGCGTGGGAGAGCTAAATCACTGTCCTGACGGGTGGAGCGTTAGCAAAGAGAAGAGTTGCCCTATATGTGAGAGACGAGAGCTTGCGGTTCGCCAGTAGCACGTATTTTGAGAAGCAAGTTAACGAGGTGCTGTTGTGACACCTATTTTAAGAAACAAGTTAATGTAGGGGTGTTGGGAGAGCTGGCTGGCAGTAGGCCAGCCCAGCTCCACACTTACGTTCGAGGTATGACCAGATGTTCGACGGGGTAACTTGCGGCGCGAGGCTCGAGATCTTTCGGACGCGTTGTGTTTTTCTCTGACCCGTTGTCATAAACGGCGAGATAATATCGAACGTGCGAGATAGCCAAGGCATTGACCAGGGCAGGTGGGAGGTCAGTTGGGATCTGATGGCGCGCGCGGGATAGCCCGATGAGGATTCTGTTGGATTTTTTGACGAGGGCTGATGCGTGAGAGTCCGAGGTGAGATGTCTGTCGAATACTGCGCCAGGGCTCGTCACGGTTCGACCTCACGCACTGCGTCTTTACGGAACTGGACAGTAGTGGGAGTCAAACCTCAACAGTTTTGACTGCAGCCACAAACTATAAGTTCCGTTTTTTCAGCATTTACTTGCAGACCGTTGAAGGGGAACCAGATGTCCAAAGACTCAAAGACCAAAGTGTCTGTTCCATTGTAGCAATGAGCTGTGGGAGGGAGTCTTTTTCAGAGGTCAAAACTTGCGTATCGTCAGCGTATGGGACCAAGTGCGCGTCAGCGGCGAGGACGGACATGTTGGCAAATGTCTGAAAGAAGTGTGGGTGTGGAGAGAATCCTTGGAATACACCGATAGGATTGGGCGGGGGCTTGGAAAAGTGTCAGTCATCACGCCCGTCATCAGTACAAATAGATTGGGTATGACTGCGGAGGTAATAAGAGGACCAGGTGGGATCGCTAGATTAGGCTTGAAGTTTGAAGAGAACCTTTGTGTGGTCGAGCACATCAGCTTTGGTGGCAAGGGCATGGGCGAGCCGACTTTTTGGTGTTGGTGGTTTCTGGCCGATAAGATAGGCCCGCATTGTCTTGGGGTGTTTTCAATCGGGTAGAGGCCCGTTTCAAGAGGCCCGTTGACTGATATTTCTGTGCCAGTCCTGCCGCTCTGGGTTCTTAAATTGACCCACATACAGCCTTCTTGCCGTCCAATCGGGCATTTGATCGCCGGTCCCGAGGGGCCATTCGGGTCCCTCCGCGGGCCCCTCGAACTCTGTCGAGACAGAATTTGAGTTCCTTGCTTGTAAGGCATTGTGGTTCCCTGACCTACACGGGAGGTCCCTCATTGACTCAGGGCTCGACCAACGTCAATCGCGGGCTGCGGCCTTGTCCCCGCCGGGAAATCGACACTCGTGTCCAGACTTGGCGCTGGAGTAACCTGGTGGCGAATCCGACGCGTGTCATGGTCAGGCCTCCACAACATGGGCGTAGTTTCGCAAAATAGGATTGGGAGTGAAGGTTAAGGCGGGAAGGGGCGGGGAAGTGGGAAAGATGTAACTCGGCAGACTTAAATTTTTGGCGTCGGCCATCAAAACCAGGTTCCCCAGACGGTTAATAAGTACAGGCGATAGGACGGTGTGCCAAAATAATGCATTTTGTTGCAGTTTGTAGAACTTGAATATCGCTAGACAAATAACAACACACGCAGACAACATTGCAAAAGTCAACAAGACATATTAATCCGCTTTTATTTAAAAACATGAAGTGTGCAAGAAGCATGCAAAGTACTCCACTACACGGGGTAAGAATGTGAAGCTGTAAAAGTGTTACTAGCCCAGTCAGCTCCACTCAAATGATCATGGCATCGTAGTTTGCATTTTCGGTGTTACTTTTACCTGCGAAACAATAAGTAGAAACATTCATTGAAATTTATATAATTTTGAGCTCCTATTTACTCCAGTACACAGTACTCCAGCTCCATACTCCAGTACACAGGGTACGAAAATGGAGCTTTAAAATTGTAACTAGCTCATTCAGCTCCACTCAAATTAACATGGCATCTCAGCTTGCATTTTTGGTGTTACTTTTACCTGCGAAACAATAAGTAAAGACACTCATTAAAATTGATGTAATTTTGAGCTCCTACTTTGGTGTCCTACCCGCACTTAAGCTCCAGAAGGCGAGGGGAAGCAAACCCACTGTTGGGAGAGGCGAACTGAGCATTGGGGAGGAGTGGCAATAGCAGACAATATCAGACAAATAGCAGACAAATCGACACCCTTGGCAGTAAGTCTAAAGTCAGAGGCATCTGATGGACTTACGGGCTCGTGAATAGGATACACTTGAGAATGTTTCCAGAAGTGGGGATATTCGCGGGATGCGAACAGATGTTGAGAATTTGAAAGATGATGTGGCCGATGATTTCGAAACAAATGTCACATCCGGCGGCTGTTTTGCTTTTCTTCTTTTTGGGGAGCGGTACGTCGATTTTAGTAATGACTCATAGACCAACACTTCCTTTATATTTATGTTAGAATACCGTCCTAGCATTTTGAAAAAACAACAGCAAAGGAATCAATTGCCAATTGGCCCAAGGAGGAATAGACACGAATCCCACTTGATGCCAGACCCAGTAACCAGCACCCGCTCTATCTTAGGAGAGTCGCGCACCTGTCCCGCCTGTGCGGTCTCTGTCTGCCTCTGCTCACCCGCAGCGTCATTATTTTTGTTCAATTCGGAAAAGTCATCAGAGCGTGTTCATTGGCATGCATGCATGCCTGCACGTAGAGTTCCTACCAAATAGCGTGGACACTTGCTTGGATATCGTGAACTAAGCTGCGCTGTTCGAGGCGAGTTTGATATTCACTTGTTATTTGGGACAACAGCTGACATTGAAAAGGACAAGGCGGGAGGCGCTCGCTCGGAGTGGGAGTGAGTGAGCGACCCGCGCATATGGCACGTCCGATCGCGGCGCCGCGCGCATCGCACGTCCGATCGCGGCGCCGCGCGCATCGCACGTCCGGTCGCGGCGCCGCGCGCATCGCACGTCCGACCGCGGCGCCGCGCGCATCGCACGTCCGATCGCGGTGCCGCGCGCAGGTCTGCGGTGGTTGGCGTGGCGCTGTCCGTGACGTCAGCTCGTCGCTTCCGCGCTCCCGACGGCAGGCCACGCGAAGCACGGCCCAATATACAGTGATCAGTGATCTAGCGTCATGATCTGTGGGTCGTCCAGCTTGGTGCCCACACAGGTCAATGATCTCCTGTTTGTTATTGATTCCAACTGCAGCGATGACAGGCTCAGCAGTGGCTAGTCGGTCAGGCATTGGCAGCCTGCGATGGTTAGCAGTGGCTCGTCGCTCGGACATTCGCAGCCTGCGATGGTCAGCAGTGGCTCGTCGCTCAGACATTGGCAGCCTGCGATGGTCAGCGGTGTGCGCTTCACTGACTCCTTGTAGTATTTCGCGTGCATTGCCCGAGTGGATAGATGCGGTGGATATATTGTGTCCTCCACGCATCGAGACAGGGTAATAAGACGAGTATTGGTACTTATGTCCAGCCGCGTATACCCAGTTGTTGAGCAATGTGTAGCATACTTGCATGTTGCCGTCGTTGTCAGAGTATGTTGTTTCCGGACGTCAGCGCACTGCAGTGAATAGAAGATATATATGGTGAAGATCTACACAACGATCTATTCATTTGCATGTTGGAATGCAAGTTGAAGCGACGATTGTGAACGATCTGATCTTTTGGTCAGATACGTGAACACCATCGAGGTCATTTTTGCTCCAGCTTGTCCCTTTGCACCACTATGGGACCCAATAGTTTTACTCGCTTACCCGGGGCAGAGTGGATACGATCGGAGACTGTGGAGCAGGTCGTCTTTTCTCGTAGATGGGGCAAGTGCGGGTATCACCTTGCCCTGCTGCTCGCCCTGCCGCTGCTGCTCGGATCACGCGCCCTGGACGGACGCCGCCGAGAATGGGTTCCGCCTCGGCGTGAGCCAGCCGTCGGCGGCCGGCCGGAATGGCCTTGTGACGCCGTAGCTGGCAAGGCACGTCGCTTCCTGCTGCGTCTCATGCGCGAGTCTAGGTACTCGGCCTGGTCGACTTCCGGTGCGGATGATCCTGCTGCGGTCCCGGAGAAGACTAAACCGTGTCACACGGCGGTACTGGAGTAGTCCTCGGGCCGTTTTCACCGTGTCTTTTCTTTTACGGAATGCTTTCATCTGGATCTGGTTGACCCAAGAGGCTTCAGCTGTAGCTGATCCTCCAACAGCGGTTCCGTGATGCATCCTATCAGGCGCTGCTGACAGCTCGCGCCCAAATGACGGACTCGTGCGGTAACGCGAAAGAGCCGCGATGAAGATCGTCCGAGATGCACGAGAGGCTCTGCAGGCTCGGTTGCACGGTTGGCTTGAGTGGCGTGACGCGGCTCGGCCTCGACGCCATGGACATCATTGACCCAAGAGTACGCCGTCGGGCCGTCCTCCGACAGGCGGCTCGAGGAACCGGAACCCGTGCAGCCTGCAGACGTCCGTGGGAGGTCGTGGCAGACAACAATCACGCGATCCGAGGTCGGCCCAGCCGGCAGCGCCAGTCACAGGCATGAGCGTAGGAATATCTCAGGACGGGGGACGCCAGTTGTGTATTCGGTTCTTTCTATGCATCGTCATGGCATGGTGAATGTTAAAAGTTCTCAAAAAGTGGGTAGTCATGGCCTGCCTGCTCTCCCGTTCCCGCGCCCATGGGCGCATGCCTCCTCGACTTGACTTTGAGGCCATCGTGTATTTTCGTGATGGCACGCGGTTAAAATTGCCTGCTTTTGCTTCTCATGCGCTGCGTGCCTGTGCGCGGTTTCGACCGAAAATGTTGCTGTTTAATGCATGTACCATCTTCGTCTACAACACGCCTGTCATTTGCCTGGCCGCGAAGGCTGCTGGCGGCTGCTCGAGGCTCCAGACAAGAAATCCTGCGCTGTCGAAGCGCTGCCACTCGCTGGTGATCCCTCGTTTTTTTTTCCTTTTTTACCACGAATGTAGTTTCCATTTAGACCTGATCGTATTCAAATACGAAGTAGGCCACGGTGCGCGAGGCTACGAAGTAGGCCACGGTGCATGAGGCTGGCTTTCGTGCCCCACCAAATCCGTGGAGCTGGCGTTTTACTGGGCGAGAACTATCGGCGCGGCGGCAGGGGCTGATGGCGACTTCTGCCACATTGTGAAGCTCATTGGCTCATTGGCACCGCATCTGCATTATCTGGCTGCTAGCCATCGTCTATTCCCAGTTGAAGCCGCTGCTGCCCAAGTCTCGCTCAGCGCATTTAGCATAGAAAATACACGCAGACCGCGTTCCGAGCGCGCCGAACACAGTGTGATTGGCGCATGCTGGCCTGGTGAGGCTCATAAGATATGTTTGATGACCCATCCCAGAGGCCTTTTTGGGGTCAGTTGCATGGACACACACATACCGTACATTACGCCTGCAGCGATTTCCTTTTTCGGTACCCTTGTGAAGCAATCTTGACCACACGCGTGCTTGCCTACCGTAGCACATGTACGCAACAGAGTTATCGATATTTATCGGGCCAGAAGACTGGCCCGGCGGCCGAGAGCGAGGCCATGTCCTCGGGGTGGGCTACCGGACCGGATCATTCCCGCCAGCCCACTGCCGGAGCGCCGGTCCCTCGGGGTGGGCTACCGGACCGGATCCTGCCCGCCAGCCCACCGCCGGAGCGCCGGCCCCTCGGGGTGGGCTACCGGAGCGGATCATGCCCGCCAGCCCACCGCCGGAGCGCCGGTCCCTCGGGGTGGGCTACAGGAGCGGATCATGCCCGCCAGCCCACCGCCGGAGCGCCGGCCCCTCGGGGTGGGCTACCGGACCGGATCCTGCCCGCCAGCCCACCGCCGGAGCGCTGGTTGGCACTGCGCTAATCTCGCGGCGGAGCGATCACACTCCAGCTGCTATCATCGTCTGGGTGGAAGCCTGTGGGGAGAAACTCTACCGTAGTCAGGGCTGAACCCATGACATCTCCCTATATTGACACGCGCGCAACCAGCTGCGCCGCCGAGGTGGCGAGGCCTGTTGCGGTACGTTCCCGCCTGTCGGGTAATCGCCATGGCCGGCTACGCTGCACGGCCAGCCGCCCGGCCTCCAGTCCTGTCGCGTGGCTCGCGCCGAGCCGGTCGTCGATGACGTGGCAGCATGAGTCACCCGGAGACGGGTCACAATTTAGCTTCCTCCAGTCGAGCGCAAACAGACGAGTCGCCGGGGATGCGGCCGTCGAGCCGCTTACTCAGCGACTCTCATATAAGCCCGTCTGGAAGCGGCGCAGAGCTCTCAGCGTGGTGCCGTCCAGAATGATTGGAACGGTGTCACGCCAGAGCCGTTCTCAACTGTGACGCATAATTGCTGTCTCGGGGCTTGAAGGCCCAGGTCGTCTGCCGGCTGCGGGTTGTGTGGTGGTCTGACTCGTTGCGCCAGCCGTCGGGAGTGACGAGGGCTGGGGCGATGCCTGGTCATGGCGAAAAGGACTAAATGCTGAACCCGCGCCACGCTTTGGGGTGGCGCGGGTGATGGGGGGCTGCCACACATCACTGGTTGTTTGTGGTGGCCGCCTTGTCGACGCCACGCCCCGCCGACCACGGCACATTTGCGGTCCGATGCGAGACCCCTAACGGCTCGCTCGAGACGCACGGACTATGCCGCTTTTGACCGGGCGCGTGGCAGCACTGTATGTCTGGCGGCACGTCTGACGCGGACTCGACCATCGAACTGGCTGTGCGATTGGAACAGCGCCTCCCCGCTGAGTGAGCCGTCACACGCAGCGGTCTTCGCTGAGTGAGCCGTCACACGCAGCGGTCCTCGCTGAGGGAGCCGTCACACGCAGCGGTCCTCGCTGAGTGAGTCGTCACACGCAGCGGTCCTCGCTGAGGGAGCCGTCACACGCAGCGGTCCTCGCTGAGGGAGCCGTCACACGCAGCGGTCCTCGCTGAGGGAGCCGTCACACGCAGCGGTCCTCGCTGAGGGAGCCGTCACACGCAGCGGTCCTCGCTGAGGGAGCCGTCACACGCAGCGGTCCTCGCTCTGCGTTGCGGCCTGCTTCCTGCGGACAGGACCGGAGGCGGATGAAACGCGTTTAGTGTCCGCGAGTGCGGCGGCGTTGTGCTTTGATATTTTGAACGGAAAGCCGCATTGAGGCTTCTCTTCTCCGGAATCGTAGAAGATTTTTCCAAAGAGCAGCTGTCAGCAGAGCTGGGTTTATGTGTGTAGACTTCTGGCGGTTTTGGGCTCCTCACATCGCGCTCACGTGAATTGGCGCTGCGAAGGCCTTCAACGTGGGTGAAGCTCAGTATGCAACGTTTTTCACGTGAATGCTTGCGAGATATGGCGCGCTCAAAGCCAATAATGGTACGGGGAATGTCAATTTCACATGTCTTCGGCACCCAGGTCCTTAAGGTCACAGCTCAGTGATCTTATGGAGAAGGTAGTTAATAGTTTAGCTCAGATGTATGATTATTAAAACTCAGCTATTCCAAAATTCATCACGGTCTGCTCACGGCCTTTTAGGTGCATGCCAGACATCATACATGCGGGCATGTGCCATAGGCCTGTTGTGCGGTTGTTCATGTCGAAATCATGTACATCCGTACAACAGTGGTGACGCATGTCAAACATTTGTCGTTAGCATTCGCTCATGAAGTAGAACAGATCAAGCACAGCATGGTGAGTTTGAGTAAAACAAAACACCCTGATCGTTACCATAAACTACCGCTAGGAAAACAGATACATGATGGGATATGACCTTGCAACGCGATCTTCTATTTTGAGTTTATTTTCTTGATGCTTATGGTGACAAGTAACAGCGAGTGGAAAAACGCATTGCGGGTGATGACATTAATTTGTGTGATGATAGCCTGCGACATGGGTTATTGTAACGCCCGCCCCAACGTGTCGTATAACTTTGTTACTGCGGCACGTCGCAGGGCTGGCGCAGCCGGGCGCACAAACTCTTCCTGAGGCTGTATCCGGTGCTGCATGCTGCCTACTCATTCTCCATAGTCCTCTGCTACATGGCATACATGTTCGGTAAGCGATATAAGATGAGTGTGGCGTGCCAGATTTAATGCTTTGTATAAAAAGTATGGAACTGATGCCGGTTTTTTTTTTACTGGTGTCCGTGAACCCATCGGTTCCCTTCACCTGGGCCACTCACATCAGTTAGGGTGGATGCCTGGGACTTGTGCTTGAACGCTGTGCCGCAGTGCCCTCTCCGTGAAGCGCTGCGGCACATGTGCTTGTGTGTACCATGTGTCATGTGCCATGACTCGAAGTGGAGAATGACCGGTCGCCACTGGCGGTCATGTGACGGCCGAGTGTGGCCCACAGAGCGGACCGACCACCACTGACGGCCGAGCGTGGCCCACAGAGCGGACCGACTACCACTGACGGCTGGGGGTTGTCCACAGAGCGGACCGACCACCACTGACGGCCGAGTGTTGCCCACAGAGCGGACCGGCCATCACTGACGGCCGGGTGTTGCCCACAGAGCGGACCGGCCATTACTGACGGCCGAGTGTTGCCTACAGAGCGTGCCGACCACCACTCGCCGCTGACTTGGCTGTCCGGAGTGCGGCTGGAGACGCTGACGGGCGGCGACTGGCAGCTGATCCAGGAGCGGCATGCCAAACTGGCGTCGTGGTCTCGGCTCAGGTCAGTGGACCGCCGCAGCGGGGCCGGCGGCACGGCGAAGCCAGACGCGCTTGAGTAGGGCACGCCCGCCGCCACGCCATCACTGGCGCTCGTCACCTTGGATGCTAGTGAGTTACTGCGTCGCTGTTTTTTGCCTCGCTTCGCTGGGTATGCGTTTAGGCGTCCCAAGTTTCGGCCGAATGCAATGTCCGTTTCTGTAACGGCCGCTCTGCAGCGAGTAATAGTCATTGTTACGCTTCTGCTTCTGATGGTCTGTACGTGGTTAGCACCTGATCTGTGCTTACTGCTCGACTGCAATTGCTGTGCTTGCTAAAACTCTTCGTTTGCCTAATCCGAAATAGCACTGTCTTTCTCTGACAGACAGTCGCGCTTCCTTCAGCCGCAGCAGACGGCTATGATGGCCTCCGGCGGGACAGTGCTGGGCCTGCCCTTACCGGACCCTGCACCTCTCCCTTACAGACGACTGTGATGGCCTCCGGCGGGACAGTGCTGGGCCTGCCCTTACCGGACCCTGCACCTTTCCCTTACAGACGACTGTGATGGCCTCCGGCGGGACAGTGCTGGGCCTGCCCTTACCGGACCCTGCACCTCTTCCTTACAGACGACTGTGATGGCCTCCGGCGGGACAGTGCTAGGCCTGCCCTTACCGGACCCTGCACCTCTCCCTTACAGACGACTGTGATGGCCTCCGGCGGGACAGTGCTGGGCGTGCCCTTACCGGACCCTGCACCCCTCCCTTACAGACGACTGTGATGGCCTCCGGCGGGACAGTGCTGGGCCTGCTCTTACCGGACCCCGCACCTCTCCCTTACAGACGACTGTGATGGCCTCCGGCGGGACAGTGCTGGGCCTGCCCTTACCGGACCCTGCACCTCTCCCTTACAGACGACTGTGATGGCCTCCGGCGGGACAGTGCTGGGCCTGCCCTTACCGGACCCTGCACCTCCCCCTCACAGACGGCTGTGATGGCCGGGCCTGATCGTACCCGACGCTATACGCCACCGCGGGCGGCTGTGGTGCTGCTCTCAGCAGTTAGACGGCCGCGGTGCTGCTCTCAGCAGTCAGACGGCCGCGGTGCTGCTCTCAGCAGTCAGATGGCCGCGGTGCTGCTCTCATCAGTCAGACGGCCGCGGTGCTGCTCTCAGCAGTCAGACGGCCGCGGTGCTGCTCTCAGCAGTCAGACGGCCGGGGTGCTGCTCCCATCAGTCAGACGGCCGTCGTGCTGCTCTCATCAGTCAGACGGCCGCGGTGCTGCTCCCATCAGTCAGACGGCCGCGGTGCTGCTCTCAGCCGTCAGACGGCCGTTGTGCTGCTCTCAGCAGTCAGACGGCCGTGGTGTTGCTCTCAGCAGTCAGACGGCCGTTGTGCTGCTCTCAGCATTCAGACGGCCGTGGTGCTGCTCTCAGCAGTCAGCGGTGTCCTGGTGCTTCTCTCAGCAGTCAGACGGCCGTTGTGCTGCTCTCAGCAGTCATACGGCCGCGGTGCTGCTCTCAGCAGTCAGATGGCCGCGGTGCTGCTCTCATCAGTCAGACGGCCGCGGTGCTGCTCTCAGCCGTCAGACGGCCGCGGTGCTGCTCTCAGCAGTCAGACGGCCGCGGTGCTGCTCTCAGCCGTCAGACGGCCGCGGTGCTGCCCTCAGCAGTCAGCGGTACCGTGACGCTGCCCACCGATGTGCCGTGACCTGACACAACCGCCGTCGGCAGACGGCTGGGCTGGCCCGCGGCCGTGACGCTCTTCAGCCTGCATACCACGTCACGGCTTCTGCGTCACGCGATGGAGGTGGGCTCGTTCTTCATCCAGTTCCTCGAGAGCTGGAACAGCGCCGGCGATAGGAGCGCGCGCCGACTGGGGCAGACGGAGGTGCCGCCGCCGCCGGCCGCTCAGCTCGCCGAGGTGCGTGGACGCTGTGAGCCGATGTACCATCGGCCCTTGCCCGGCCTCGTCTGCCCTGACCAGTGGCCTGCGTTTCACCGGCCCTGGCCCTGTTCTCAACGGCCTTGGTCTGGGTTTTTACGGGCCCTTTCCCGAGGCTCACCGGCTATGACCTGGGTCTTACCGGCCCTGCTGCATGTCTCCTCTGATGTTCGTCTCATGTACCTGAGGTGAATCTCCGCCGTTCTGACTGGGGTATGACCTACCCCGGCCTGGATATGAACTACCCTGACCTAGGTCCGACGTATGCCGATCTAGGTTTGACCTACCCGGACCTGGGTATGACCTACTCTGGCCTTGTTCTGACCTGCTGAGACCCAGTTATGACCGATCCCGACCCGGGTTTGACCAACCCCGACCTGGGTCTGACCTACCCCGACCAGGGTGTGACCTAGTCCAACCTGGATCTTGTCCACCCCGACCTGAGCCTGACCTTTTCCGAACTGGGTCTGGCCTACCCCGACCTGGATCTGACCTACCCCGAGGTGGATGTGACCTACCCCGACCTGTATCCGACCCACCCCAACCAGGACCTGACATACTCCTACCTGGATCTGGCGCGCCCCGATTTGAGTTTGACCCGCCCCGACCTGGGTCTGACCTAACATGTCCTGGCCTGACCTTCCCCGACCTGGGTCTGACCCTCTCCGATTTAGAACCTACTTTTACCCGGGTTTGAGCTATCCCGACCTGGGTCCGACCTATCCCGATCTTGGTCTGACATACCTTGACCTGGTTCTCATCCGCCCGGTGCCGGTCGAGGCTGCTGGTCACGCGTCATTGCTGAGCTGAGCGTCCCGATGATCAGCCCCGTGTGACGTCCGCCAGCGTGTCTATACACGTGACGCCTGCGTCGAGTGCTGCGGTGTGAACTGTGAGGGTGATGGCGCCCTCTGTTCCAGGTGGACGGGTCCGGAGAGCGCAGGTGCCCCCTGTGCGACAAGAGGCGGGAAAGCGAGGCCGTACTCGCCGTGTCCGGGTAGGCGGATGGTGGCGCTCACCAAAAACGGGCCGTTCAGAAGTACCGGTTGCTGTCCGGGGTGCTGTAATGTCGAGTGCCGTTTGCGCCTTCGGTTCTCACGTGTGGGACCCGAGTTGGAACCCCGGTTGCGCCATGGGCCCTGAGCGCTGATGTGGCCACAGCAGTTGTTGGCGCTCTATAAAAGGGTGCGCGATGACTTGCCGCTTGTTCCACTAAAAAAGGGCTGCTCGCAGGATGTTCGGCTATTGTTTATAAGCTCTTTCAGAGGCCCTCGACCTTTTAAAAAGGGAAGTTTGAAGTATATGGAAGAAAAAATATGGGATAAGAATGTCAGGTTCATCTGACGGATCCTACTGACCAGTTTCCTGTCATCTGTTGATGCATCGGCCTTTTCTGTTCAGGACGTTAATGAAGTTAAAATTTGATCACTGGCAGCTATAACCTACACTTTTGTCAATGCTGGCCGTGGGGTTCCCTTTTCCCTGTTCCGTGTACTCTTTACGTCCCAAATTAGTTGGTTTGATCACGACAATACGTTCCGGACCAGTCGCAGAGTACCAGTCAAGTATATTTGGGGTCCTTGGGCACTGAAAGAAGGCCCACCTGCCTGTAGATCACTGGGAGCATCGCAGGCATAGAGTTAGTTAAGTGCTCGGGTGGGGTCAATTTGACCCCCGGAAGGTTTTCCAACACAACTTTTGAACCGCGCGATTTAGCCGTGCCAAACCTGGCTTAGCTGTAGCTAATGAAATAGTCGCTTTTTTGGTATTAAAGGAGAGGATATACTTTTGTAAGGTCGTTGACCTATGGCAGGTCAAATTAGGCCATGCCGGTCAGCGAAGGTGATCCTTAAGATGTGTTCAATCTGATGGGACAACGGAATGTTGGACCGAGCTATATACCTTTGAGACAATTTCTTTGACAGCTAGTCCATTCAATTTAGGATTAGGAGGAATTCCATAGATCTTGGTTGAATTATTAAGGTCAGTTGGAGGTCAAACCGTTTTTTGTGTGTTTTTTTTTACTTGAGATCTTGCCTTGCAGGGAAGTTTAATGCCTTTCAATTTTCTTGGTCACATGAGGTCAACATGTGTTATTTGAAATTCACTAAGGTCAGAAGAGGTCGCTGACCTAGAGTGACCCCGACCAATCTGTTTTAGGAACGCACCACCTAGCGTAATCCTTGGGGCTTATTGAACCTCGAAATCCATCTCGCCGATATTTATCACCGTGACCTTTTGAAGGTCAGATAAGGTCACTGACTTGAAACAGACATCCGCGACCTTTTGCTTAGTAGAGATATCAAAGCCAAAGATGTTTACATAAGCAGGTCTGGGAGAACTACGACACCGATCTGAAGTTTTATTTTGTGTGACACTTTTTAGCCTAATTTATTTGATCTTACCTTTACTTGGCCCAGGGTTCTCTTTTGACGCAAGTATGTCCACAAGTTAGTTCATATACAGGCTTATCCGTGCCGTGAATTTGATGTTTCTAGCTTTCTTAGTTTTTGACATCTCAGGTGCGTCAATTACCTGGCTTTGACAGCATAGTAATGCTTATTTGATCTGCTTAGAGTGAAGCCGATGTATAAGGTTAGCAAGAATTCCATGGGAAGGGGATTGTATTCATGGTCCGCCTTTGCCAACCCTTAGCAACTCTCTTGAAGCGATTGATTTTCAATTATTTACCATCTGCGCGCATAGAAAGAGAAGCTATCTGAATGACCGCTGTCTGCAGCCTGCTAAAGCGTGTGCCAAAGAAATACCGTCTCTGCCGCAACATTTAATCAAAATAATTTAATTTTAATAACTTTTAATTTAGCTTCGTTGTTATTAACAACAATTGCCCGTCGCTCCCCGCAAACTTGTGATGGGTGTGCTCATAATATGCGATCATAACCAAGGGGGCTGCACATGTCCTCTGTGTGGTGGGATGGTTGCAGCGTGTATGTTTCAGCTCTTCATTTGTTAAATTTTTAGCTAGTTAGATTATACGTCCTTTGTTGATTTTCAATTTGATGTTTTTTTTTAAGAGGAAGCAGCGTGTGTGAGCAGCTGCGATGCTAAATGAACACCAATTACGCGTGTTCGGGTTCCGAAGTCAGCAGCAGGACCACCTGTGTCCGGTTCGAGAGCTCACAGAGGGTGGCGGCGGAACGTTCGCGTTCAACGTCAGGCAAAAGCAGCTCTGAAATCTGCCATCAAGCTCAGCTACCCAGCCATAACCAGATGTCGACGGTCTTGTAGCGGTCTTGTCAGGGCGTACCTCCGTGAAGATCCTCGGCACGCGTCAGACGTGGCGGCTGACGGCCACGTCTGATGTCTTGCAGGCACGTCTTCTGCCACGTCTGCATTTTCCGCTATGTCAGTGAGGAGGGACGCTGCCCTGTCACCTGGTACCCGGCCACCACAGACCAGATTTACAAACTCTACCCACCGGACTCGTGATGGAACGGGGCGACATCTAGTGGTAGCTCTGTTAACTATGAGTGCATTCGGACGCCACATTGGCATGTGTTGTCGCCGTTAATCTGATCCAGCGCTAAGGCCTCGCCTTGTATGACTGAACACATTTGGGAAGGACCCGTGCATCAGATGGCGTTTCATTCCGAGCACGTGTCCGACGTTCCTAGTGGACGTTGCGTGATATATATGGTGGAGCTGTTGGATGAGTGATTGTTTATGCTCCTGTAATGTGTGTCAGCATCTGTGTGCATCTGGCGGCTGTGTCGTCATCCTCCGATGTGGGCGTGATACGGTGAACCGGGTCATCAGTGGGTTCAGAATATTCGTAGATTTAGTGATGTCATTTAAAACGTGGGACTGTATAGGTAACCGCACGCTGGCCATTTGGCCGGGTCGTTCGGCTTCGGACAGGGGTTGGTTACTTCCGACAGAATATCGGAACACCAGTTATTTCCAGAGTGCGTTTATACTGTTGAATTTGAATAGAATCGTGGCTACTTGCTTTGATGGGGCTCTCATAAGTCTTCGCAGACATAAAGATACAGCGTGAACAAAGGAGAGCATCTGTTACTATGTCGAGACCGTACAGCTGCGGATGTGTGTACTTCTCAACAACAGCGTTGAGTCTCACTCAGATATCACTCACGTCGTCAATTTAAGGGCTCACGTTATAAGTTTGAGTTCTTATTCTGACAATAATCAACCTTCAACTACCATAAGATGCTGGTTAAGTGCCGTTATTAAGCAAACTGGTTATATTTCCAAAGCTGATGTTACAAGCTGTGTTGCTGGTCACGAGTGACCACGGGTACAGCTTGACGCGTCGAATTCTACCGCTGTAGCCAATATTTAATTAATGTCCTTTAGCCGGATATCTTGGAGGTCGATTACTGGCCGCATGGGAATTCAACTCACAATGCCGAAAATTAAGAGCTCAAGGCCTTTCTTGCTTCCATCAAGGGACTCGAACTCACGTGGGGTGGCCCACGGGCTGACAGTGGACCACGTTGGCCAAACATTTACGAATACAGAGGGGTGATAAATACGGATCAGACTGCGATAATCGGACAGCAGTTCAATCGCACGCATGCCAGCGGTAGCAATATGCGCCACCAGCCTTGGGAGTAATGCCAAGAAGCACGTTTCGAAAGCTGCGAACACAGTGCAGCGATATATCAGCAGGTGTAACGACTACCTTTCGCCATTTACCCATTTCAATGGCGGTGATAATACATAAGCGCAGACAAGCTTCTTTCATTCGGTTTATTATTTATTAGTGGCAGCTTTGAAAACTTCTCGCTTCAGCGGGGTCGGCTCAACTTTTTCTTGAGCAGTTCAAGTAACAGGCACAGTTAGTGCAGAACAAAAATGAATGTGCGGTATTGGTACTTCTCCAGTAACCTTCATGACGAAGACAGGAGTTGCGAAACAAAAACACGTAAAAAAGTAGTAAGCTTCACATGCACGCATGTCACTTGTAGATGCTGCACACCGAATGCGAAGCGGCGTCACCTAACCTGCTCGGACAGTAAGAGAAGTCGCAAGCGTCGGCGCCGGCTGAGTGACCGTCACTTCATGTGACTGACGGTGCAGGCTGAACATCTGACGCTGACGGCAACACACGCCTACACTCGTCTGCTCACCACACCGCTGGCGGACCTACTCCCGTCAAACCCTCGTAAGCAGCACACGGCACCCACGTGTGCCAGTCCAGACCAGCACCTCCCGTTGCTGGCTCATTCGGGGCGCGTGGCCCGTGCCAGCGTGGCGGGCCCCGCTGGACGGGCGGCCTGTCGCGGTCACCACCCCACCGTACCCGTGCCAGCGCGGTGGGCTCCACTGGACGGGCGGCCTGTCGCGGTCACCGCCCTGCCGAACCCGTGCCAGCGCGGCGGGCCCCACTGGACCGGTGGACAGGTGTCGCGGTCACCGCCTAGCCGAGTCCGTGCCAGCAGCCGGGTCCGCGTTGACAAAGGCTTGGCCTCACAAACCGGCCGAACTCTGCATGCGCTTGCGACACTGTTCTCCGTACAGGTAGCGCACGCGGTTGATGTCCTTGTCGCTGAGCATCGTCTTGTTGGTTAGCTGCGGCACCGGAACGTCCGGCCAGTGGGAGCTCATAGTGCTGCCATTGCCCGCTGAGAAGGCGTCGGTCCCCAGCATCATCACCGACCTGACGACAGAGGAGCCATCGTCAAATCCGGCACGCGTGGAGCGGCTGCTAGGCCCGGCCGCCGACGCGCGGGATGGAGGAGCCACCGCTGGACACATCGCGCACGGGATGGAGGAGGCACCGCTGGACACATCGCGCACGGGAGGGAAGAGCCACCGCTGGACACATCGCGCACGGGATGGAGAAACCACCGCTGGACGCATCGCGCACGGGAGAGAAGAGCCACCGCTGGACACATCGCGCACGGGAGAGAGGAGCCACCGCTGGACACACCGCGCACGAGATGGAGAAGCCACCGCTGGACACATCGTGCATGGGGAGACACCGCTGACCGAGCACGTGGGCTGGAGAGCTGGTTCTTAACATATCGCACATAAAGAGATGTTGATTAAATTATCTCCCACGGGGAACCAGCGCCGGATCCAACGCACCCGGGAACCGCCGTTGAATCATCCATACAAGACGAGCAACGGCTGTCGCCAGCCGTCACATTGCCGCTTTCGATGACAATTTGCTCATCACTAAGACGCCCTCTGGCGCCGCCGTACCGATGAGCATGGCCGCTGGAGGTGCCAATCGGTTGGGCCAGACCCGCCCGGGTCGCACTCACTTGAAATCCAACGAGTCGGTGACGGGGTGGCGGCTTCGGTCGTACGCGTCGAAGTTCTCGGCGCCGTCGGCGTTCTCCAGGTCGATTTTGAGCCACTGGTCGCGGTCGGGCCGGTTGTGCTCGTGCCAGAAGCCGACCTGGACAGGGAGGAGACCGCGGGTCAGATGGGCGCGGCTCGTTCCGAATCTAGCGACAGACATCGGTCGGGTCCGCGCGTCCGGGCGGCGTGCACGGGAGGATGACGTGGGGCGGCGGCAGCCACGCGCGCTACCGCCGCATCACGTCGGTGGGACCGCATCGGACGTCGCTCAGCCCTGCCGACATTCTCGGCGGCGTTACAGCTGCGGTGTGTGGCGTGCAGTCTGGGTGACAACAAGACGCTTCCTTCGGCTCAAGTGAGCGCTCTTTTTGTCAGGTGACCATGGCCGGCACGAGCTATACCTGAACTGCTTTACCCACCGTGTGGCCCATTTCATGTAGGATGATGCCTATGTTGAAGCAGCCCTCGCCCAGTACAATCAGCTGGTCGGCACCAGTAGATCCCTGCGAACAAAACAGGCAGTCAGCTTTTAACACGCTTTCCTGTCAAAATGAATGGACCCCGCTTCGCCCTGCGGCCAACGGGGCATGCAAGATCTGAGCATAGCTGTTTCAGCCTACAGCTCCGCCACTAGCGTAGAGCTTGTATTTCAAAAAAAGCAGGTTGCAAGTACGCCTCTACCGATACCAGTTGGGCCGAGATGCATGCATGCAGAGAAGTACGTTTCCTCGGTTCAGTGGGCCGTGCAGCATTGACCTCCTTGCCTCGTCATTCGGTTAGACGGAGCGGTCGCACGAAGGTTGATGGGTATACACTGAGTCACGTTAGCATGGGTCGATCCGGCGAGCCCTGCACACTGAAAACAGTGAGGTCCTCTCGTAGTATGCCCGCACGCAGACAAGGGCATTCTTCTTCTTGGGGAGGATTGGGGGTGGGGCACGATATTAATTCCCCAAAGAATAGCGTAAAGACCGGTTCGAATCTGCTCAACCATACTGCATGCATGCACAAAATCCACAACAGCAGAGTGGTATCTCACCGCGACGTATATGAATACGAATCCGAATGAGGATACGTTGCCAACCGAAGGGACGTTGCCAACCATTCAGTCAACGACAACAAATCAATCGAATCCCAGGGTTTACAAATGCATGTAAATGGCCTGGGTGCCTTCCCCGAGTCGTAGCCAAATGTATTTGAAGCTCATCAGGGCTGTTGGCCTTTGGGTTAGAGCTGGCGCCCTTTTCTGATTGTCGTGTACATGTGTTGTCAAGAGCAACTTTCTAAACTGTCAACCCCAAACAGTGCAGCACAGCAGACATGTTGCCGTTTGTGCGATGGTGGCTTCGCTTGGCTGCAACCGTGACACTGCGCCATGAGCCCTGCGTCAGCACGCCGCTAGCCCAAAAGCGTCCCGGATTCTCGCAGGGCCCACGTCGAGCAACATCGTCTCGAAATTTTGTGTGTGAGAGCAAATGATGGGCAAAACAAGAATCGGGACCGAAGGCGGCGCTTTATATGCGTGCAACAAAAATGTACTGTAGGCCGGCCGAAATTTATTGCATTCAGTGTATGAGCTAGAAAGGAGCACTTGAATCCGGCGTAGTCGAAAATTCGATCGAACATTCGTCTCTTTAATGGGAGTGTCCCACTTTATTTTATATTTCATATTATTTCGGGGGGAATATTTCAAAAACATACTGTAGTGAAGCCTTAGTACCAGATGCGTTAAAAAATAAGGCTGGTTAGTGCCCTTGCAGCACTGTCAAGACATGATAAGGACATCAATTTGTGTTATTCCGAGTACAAATTATGCTGCCAACGCTTTGTTACAGCACTATGTTTCTTCCCTGCAGTCATCACCGTCGTCGTCATGACAACCGCCGTGCGCACCTATACCGGTGTGAATAAAAGAACGTTTGTGACTGGCCCAGCGGGCGACAAGGGTCTGTTACCGAGAAGCGTACTGGTTGCAGCTTGAGTCGGTGCGTCACTACGGAACATGTGATGCTCCCCATTCCCAAGGTCAAAGTGCGCCTCGAAGATAGTCACTGTGACAAACGCCATGGAGGAGAATGGAAGCGACAGTATAAAGTGTCGTTGAATTCGCGGGATAATCGCTTGATGTTCACATATATTTTTGCCTAAACAGAGTGTTTCAAGCTTTCATGGCATATAGTACACACACATTCTGAAAACTTGGTGTGCTGCAAACATTACAGAACACATATATTGGAAAGAACAAGTCAAATGAAGCGTATTACTTTCACAGTGGTGAGCAGGGAGTCGAGTAAGATTTGTCCCGCAGGAGCGGTGTTACTAAGTCGAAATTCTGAGCTGCTGAGAATGATCTCTAGAAAACTGGTATTACTGATGAAATCGTAGGCATCTGGTCTAGCAGTAAGTGAAATGTACAAAAAAGGTGTGCTACTGCCTTTAGCGTCGGACTGTGCAGGAACTCCATGGAGTACACCTTGGATTCGATATCGCCGGCAAAAACGTCGATGCGTCACGATCGGGCTCGGCGGGCGAGCGTAACCTCTAAACACGCTCCCATGGAGGTTCGACCAGCATTTCGCCTAGCTATTGGAGCTGTTAGTAATTCTTCAAATGCAGACATCATAGTCTAGCTGGCATAAATAGCCGTGCATGCCTGTTTTGCTCTGTTCAATCATTTCGACGGTCACAAGTCACGACAGTTAGAAACAGCCTCGGAAACAATTTCGAATTCGGTTGTTCAGCGGTGCTGAGCAGGCGATGCCGCCTGGTCGCTGTGCCGCCGTTCGCTTCAGGGCCGGACAGGACCTTCGTCCAACGAGGCGGTATGTTAGCTTAGCTATATCCTGACCTAGTTACGACCTGACCTAGCCAAGCTTTGACAGACCGCTGCCTCAGGGCCACGCTGGGACTGTTTTATTAGGGGGAGGGGAACTGACCGGCCGGCCGCGGATGCCGCGGTGGGCCAACTCCGGCCGGTGACGCCCCGACCCGCTGAGTCAGCGGCTCTCCGGGAGCGGCGGCGGGGCGCGCCCGTCAGCCGGCCGGCCGCTCCGGCCCCTGGTGCCGTCAGCCGGCCGGCCGCCTCGGCTGCGACGCCCGCGGAGCGGCGCCGCGCACCGTCCGGCTGTCTCCACAGGGCAGTGGCGCCCCACCCTGGTCCCGTCAGCGCGACGAGCTGTCCCCACAGGACAGCAGGCGGCCCCGACAGGGTGGCGCACACATCCAGCGTGTGCCGCGAGGCCGGCTTCTGCAGGCGCCGCTCCAAGGCCGCAGCAGAGACAGCTATCCGACGGAGCGGGCCGCCGGGCGGACGGGTGTGCAGAGCTGGCGGCGGCCGGCCCACTTGAGGGTGGTGAGTCACCGCCGCCAGCCTGGTCAGCGGGGCGCCTTGCTCTCTAAATGTTGACTCCGTCCCCGACCGACGGTGCGGCACCTCAATGATCAGCGGCCATAGCATTTTACCGTTGGCTGGTATCGCGACAGCCATGTTTGAGGGACGTTGGGCGGGATAGAGCCTTTATGATGCTCCCTAATTCGTCGTTCCTGACTAAAACTAGCAAAGCCCGATGTCCTTGTTGAAGCAAACGCTAACCAGTGATCCAACTAGCTGACGGCCTAGTCGACAGGCTACTAGTCGCTGGTTGACAGGCAGTAGAAGAGAGACTGACAGTTTCCTAACTCTCTACGCTTTGGCGGTCAATGAGCTGGTTAAGATGCCTTCTGTAAAACTGGTAACGCGATGGACTGCTCAGCCGCCGGCATAGAGCCTGACATTTGAGTTATGATGACGTAAACACAGGTTCGCCGGCTGTGATTCAAAGCCTTCCGCGTTGTTGTCCGTTTCAATCCACTGCGGATTCAAAGGCGTAAAGAATCCACTGCTGATGGTCAGGGTAAGCAAGCGACTGTGCCCGGCACCCGCCGGCTGGTGTCTGAGCTTGAAGGGTGTCCCGTACTCCGTGTGCAGTCCAACCGTGCCAGTGTCTGTGGCGGTGGCGGTGGCGAGAGGCACGCACCTGGTATCCGACGGAGGAGTAGCAGCCGCCGTGCCTCTTCAGCTGAATGCTGACGGCGTACTTGTCTGAGTCCTTCGCCGGCTCCCACAGCAGGCACGTGCTGTTGTTGAACTCCTCGATGGCCTCCATGAGCACTTCACACCTGACAGACGGGCAGTTCGGTCGTGAAATGCGACGCCGATGAGAAGCATGGCCGATCGGTTAAAAGCGCTCGCCGGAACCGGTCAGTTCCGGTACAGTGTAGGCTGCAGTGTTACACGGACGGCTTCTGCACCTACTGCAGTGCTGCAGTAACAGCCCGGTGATGGCTGCGAGTCCTGGAATGTACGTGACTAAACATGTCCCGATGCGAGTGCCAGTGACAATGATAACCGCATCGGTTCGGATTGTCAGCGCAACTGACGGACAGCTACACCGGCGGGAAACCGCAGCTAGCGTGCGTGCATGACATGTACATACATACGTAAAGACACAACACTCGCCATGTAACTGCAATTACGACTGATACAAATGGTATGAAATGACACGCCGCGCCACAACGCCACTGCACGGACCGGAAAATTGGTCTGATAGAATTGTGGCTACCATTGCGAGCGGAAGGTCGTGGCGACTGGCGAACAGCGCGAGCGCCAACTCGCGCGGCGCCGACAGCGCAGCCAAACCACACGTCTCGGCCATTTTGCGACACTCGCCGTGACTGCGCAGTACACGGATGCGGGATTGGGGGCTGTCGCGGCGCGCATAACACAAGAATCACTGTTGGCACAGGCAGAGGCTGACGTCACCACCGATGTTGGTCCTCCCTCGTAAATCTAAAACGTGAGTGTGCCGGACGGCCGTGATAGGCGTTTTTCAGAGTTTAAAAGCGTGTGGGCCCCATGTGCCAGGTGCGACATTTGGCTACGTGATGACTGGCGGCCTCGATTTGACTAGGTCATGGGTGACGCGTTCGCTTGAACATTGAAATTGAATGTGTGCCACGAAATGGCTACATCAGCATGCCTATTTCGTTGTCGAATTGGCTAGCTTTCCCAGCCAGCGCGTGTACGTGCCTGAAATGCAGATGTTTTCATGCATAGGAAGGAAGCCGGAAACCAGGAGTACCGAATGTGTTTTTACGATCCCACAAAAATAAACCACTTTCCCTTCAGTACCCTTAAAAGATAGTAATGACGTACTGATCAATGCGCTGGCTGTTGCGTGGTAAAGAGTGTGCTTGAGCAGTGTTCTTGCCTCCCAACTGGCTGTACTCTGCTGCTGTGTCCCTGTGTTCTTCGATTGCGCAGTGGTGCTGTACAGAACACGTGTGCCGCGAACAAGAACACGAACACGAACATTTACGCATGGTGCTTTGAGCCGCTGGCCTGAACATTTATACGGATAGTTCAGATGTGCCAATGTCTTGCATAACGGTACGATGATACCACGTTGAGTCTTACCCCCTATGGTTTGGATCACCGGGCACAACACGCATAACATTACAGGACGCTCAGAGTACATATGTGCATGATTTCATGGCAAGATGTACAGGATGCACGAATGCAGGATTCTATTACAGGACGCGGCTTGTAAGGGGGAGTACATATGTACCCTGCCACTGGCGGGGTAGAGAAATTGGAAACCGCACGAAGCGCGTACAGTCATGCATCATAGTCCCACAGGTGTTCCACCGGTTCGCGCATGCCACGGAACGTACATACCTTTGGCCAGTTGCATGAACAGCTTCCTGCAGCGGATGCTTGCACAAAGCAAGTTCAATGTCATTCAGTGCTTTTGTGGCTGGTATGTACCATAACTACACAGAGCTCCATAAAATTAGTAAAACGCCGTAACACCGTAACCTGTGATCTGTATACGGATGCCACGCCATGTTGTTAATACTGTTCAGGGCCATGTCGGGTGCTTTCACTTGTGATCTGTATACGCATGGCATGCCATGTTGTTAATGCCGGTGTCATAAACGATTAAAGATTCAAAATTAGACCATCTGAATGCTTTGTTTGGCTACAGTCCGTCGAAATACCGCAAGTATATTGCATGTAAGTGTATGCGTTACTTTATTCATTTACGCTATCGGAATTTTATATTTCACCAATAAAGCCGTGTTCGGGACCAATTCATAGAGATGTGTCGAATGGTGCCCCATAATCCGAGATCGAAGAAAATATTGGGGGTAGTTCTATTCGACATCGTGCTGATCCGCCTGCTGACACGAGAGCCCGTGCACGCACTTGCGGATCGCGATCAGGTCCTCGGTCGTCGCCGACTGGTCTGCAACCAGCACCGACCCGGGCGAGTTGGGGCAGCCGAGATGGTCGTCCAGCCGGTGGGGGATGCGCGCGGACTCAGTACGGACCTGGGCGAGTCGGGGCAGCCGAGCCGGTCGTCCAGCCGGTGGGGGATGCGCGCGGACTCAGTACGGACCTGGGCGAGTCGGGGCAGCCGAGCCGGTCGTCCAGCCGGTAGGGGATGCGGGCCAGCGGCCACAGCAGTTGGCTGTCCTTGGCCACGTGGTCCGATTCGGTGGTGTTGACCCCTAGCATGTCTCCTTCGGTGATGCCCTCGCCGCCCACGTACAGTCCTGTAACACAAGAGCCGGCTCAGACACGGCGCTATGTCAATAGCCTGTATTCGCCGCGTTGGCTGTGTTGAATGCTCCTCGCTTTCCGAGGCATGCTCTAGGCCTTTGTCTGCTGGCATGTGGCTGTCGGAACGCGGCGAGGCGCAATGTGCCCGACGCTCGTGTACATTGTTAACTGTGAGATCATCGCGGCTTACGGGTCCACGGGTCCATATTTGGCTCCGGTGGCGGTGGTGCACCTTTTCAGAGGAGCAAACGTCCTATGATGGTGGCCACTGGCTGCGCGTTTTGTCAAAATTTGGCGAGAATCCACAACGAAGTGATAAAGACCATCGGGGACAGCCTCTTGCGATAAAACCCTTCACGAACAGTTAGTATATCTGGCATGCTAAAAACGTCTGACAGTCTCACGAGGGGACCGCCCGGCCATGCCGTTTACGGAGACGATGAATGGCCACATATCTGTCATGGACTGTGATTTCACGCACGTGGAGGTTGCATATGGAGAATCTTAATCAACGCATAATCTACGTTATGTGACTTAACGTAGACTCTAAGTCGTCTAGCACTAGTCGAATGTGCGCAGAGTCTTGCCGCACAGGTTCTGTCGTAACATGAGATCAGGGCCAATGGAAGATCTTCCAAGGTGGGGAGACTCGCCATTTTTGTGACTTTTTTCATTCAACGTTTACAGGAACAATGCTTAATTTTCAGAAAGATGGGATCCTCTTCCTCCCCCCCCCCCCCCCCCCGCCTAGGTCCTGCGCCCCTGAAGCGGATAACCCTACGGCAGGTTTTCCCTGGGCGAACGACCGCCGCTCGCCGCCTCTGCCCCTGCGCGCTCGCTGGCGGCGCCCTCCGTGCCGTTTGACCGGCTCGGCTCGAGCGTCACGACACGGCCGGCCGTGACGTCAGACGCTCCGCTGCCGGCGACTGGAGGACCGGCCCCGGCTCGGGACCGTCCCGCCCGGCCGGGAGCGAGCCGAATCCGGCCGTCAGCCGCCCGCTGCGCTGAGCCGTGTGCCAAGGCTCGATCGGCCAGGCTTTGTAACCGGAAAAGTTCGCGATCAGTGAAGTCGACAAGACTCGAAATGGGCAAGTTTGTAGCGGGTGAGTCCCGTGTTGAAAAGCGCTCTTAGAGGAAAATGTTTTCATCCCGAAGGCCCAATAAGAGAGAAGTTCTTAATGAAGCAGATTCGTTAACGAACGCCGGTGTGCAAGCCCCCGTATGCCCTCTGGCCTGTATAGAAAATGATTTGTAACGGAGGATTCCCGTGGCTACGCGAAGGTTCTATCGGCATGGGTCGCGATTAACAGATTTGCAAGGCATAAAGTTCCCACCTAATGGAGAAGAATAGTTTCGGAAAAGACTCACAAGCAAAATGATCGTGAAACAAAAACGTCGTAATGGCACGATAAGGGACACTTTGCCAGGGGCGAAAAAGGTTTCGTTTTATCGGATATGATCGGTGACGAAAATGGGTAACCTTGCAAGCTACTAAGTGACAAAAAAGTGGAAGTGAAAACGAATTAAACAGATCAAACCACATAACAACAGACCACTCCAGCTAGAACTCAAATGTCCTTTGTCCTCTAGAACGTCTTTTGCAATAGCGCTCGATCCATGAGGTTTGTTGTTTGTGGATACCCGAACGAACCAAGTCATCGTCGCAGGGTCATCGGACATTTGAGACACTGAAGTGGTCAGGAACGGAACGGACGACATTGGAGACACTGGAGCGGTCAGGAACGGAACGGATGACATCCGCACGTGCAAACACTAAGGGAACAGTGGGAAATACGCTAGCTTAAAGAAAGCTGCATGGTGGCAACTGAATCGTGACCCAACAAATCCCAGCACGAGGATACAGAGATGTAACCGGGGCTTCCTGCTACTGAGAGAAACAGCGGCTTTTGAGGCCAGAGGCGGAGTATCGCCGGCGTAGGCTTCTCACATTGTCCGTCGCAACTTAGATTTAGCATTCTGACCCGTTGGCAGTCGTGAGTCATCATACTGTGTGCAGAGCTAACCCAAGGTGCTAGAGGTATCAACTGTCTTTTTTTGGCATCTGGCTTTACCGTATTGGATGGGTTTTGCACTAGATGCCATTGGTTGGGACCATCTTAAGGGATGCAAGGCCTGCACAAGAAATACCAGTAATTATGCGAAGAAAGTGAAGGTCACGAACGCTTCCAGCTGACTGCAGGCTACAAGGGCTAAAAAAGGCAAGGCTACAAACTGTGGTCCTGGAAGCGAGTCAGACACACGGTTTAAATTTCCAGTGAGCTGAGATTATGTGAGTGAATATGAGAAGGAACCAATAACAGTAATCAATAATTTGTGTTTGAATTTAATGTCAGCAGCTATTAGCTGGCATCAAGTAAATCAACCAGAGACCTCCGTTCAAAAGTCGGCGCCGTTGTACGCTTTAGGACATGTGGACGGTTTGGTGCCCTAGCCGTCTCTTCTCTCGTTTGACGCTACTGCTGACGACAATCCCGACCTTACGTGGAGGATTGAAATTCCACATACAGCGAGAAACGCGCGCGATGAGTTGAAACCCATGAGCACTATGTGTGTTGCCTATCTCGTCTCCTTCTCAGAACAACGTCATTTCGCATTTTTCAAAATGCAGCCGGAGACATTTTGATTGGCACGCCATGGTCAGAGGGCCTGAGTAAGAACCGGCTCCGCCCTTCCTCCGCCGGTCGCATCCGGTCCAGTTGGCAACGTCGCCTGCTTGCATATAACCGGCTGCTTTCTTTGGCCGGGCGGCGACCACCAACGCGATAGAACGACCGAGCGGAGCTGGCACCAGTCCCTCCCACGCACCTGGATGCTGGTCACTAGCCGCAGCCCCTCCCACGCTCCTGGCTGCTGGTCACTAGCCGCGCCCCCTTCCACGCACCTGGATGCTGGTCACTAGCCGCAGCCCCTCCCACGCACCTGGCTGCTGGTCACTAGCCGCGCCCCCTTCCGCGCTCCTGGCTGCTGGTCACTGGCCGCAGCCCCTCCCACGCACCTGGCTGCTGGTCACTAGCCTCACCCCCTTCCGCGCTCCTGGCTGCTGGTCACTGGCCGCAGCCCCTCCCACGCACCTGGCTGCTGGTCACTAGCCTCACCCCCTTCCACGCTCCTGGCTGCTGGAGACCGGCCGACCTTCCGAGCCTCCTCGGATTTTGGGTAACAAACCCTGCTCCCGCTCGTCACAGCTACTGGAAGCTGAACCGAGCACCCCTCCTCCTCCCCCCCCCCCCGTCTCTGGCTGCTGGAAAGTGATCCCAGCTTCTCCTATGGTTCCGGCTGATGGAAATTGACCCCAGCTCATCCCACGTCCAGGGCTGCCGATGCCTTTGCAAGTTTCTCCTGTATCCCTGGCTTCTCAGAGACAAGACGAATCTACTCTATCTCCCGGTCTTCAGGACGATGACTCCTTGACTTCCTTCGTCCACAACGGACGTAAACAAACGTGACTCCAGGCCTTTTCACCATTCATATCCCAGCATGTTCGCTGCCTGTCTCTGTCATCTCGCTTCTGAAAGATGGAGAGAGAGAGAGAGAGAGAGAGAGAGAGAGAGAGAGAGAGAGAGAGAGAGAGAGAGCCTACCAGCCTGGCTTAGTGAGAGTGCTGGCTGACCCGATGACGTCCCTGCAAGGCTCAGCGACCCACGGACTCCTGATTGCCCCACTGAGGCACAGCACGTGGATCCTGGCCGGAGAGTCCGCCGCCTGACCGCAGGAGGGCGCGGCGCGCTCCGTCCGGTCAGCGGCGGCCTCTCTGTATGCACCGGCGGCCTGCCAACCTCGGGTCACGCGTCAGCCAGGCCAGTGTTTGCCCTCTGTCAATCAGCGCCGCACACGCGGGCAGTACCGGGGCGGGCCGGCCGCCGCGAGAGGGCGCCGCGCCAGCCGCTGAGCGTATGCGGCGGCCAGCCGCCCGCACCGTCCCCATCAATAATGCATTAGCAGCGGGAGACTGGGCTGTTGACGTCGGCGCTGACGCTGTCGGTTGTGGTTTACTTCGTGCGGACTGCTCCAAGCCAAAAGAAGGCGGCAGGGGACCTAACCCAGGTCAAATATTGATGTCACGAGAGATCCTCGGTGAAAGCAATATTTTGAACACAGACGGTTTTAAACGTCGTTGGTTCATGCCCTCAGTTGCTAAGCCCAGTGTCTGCGTTTCGGGTACAATGCCAGCCGCAGCCCCCTGGGGCGCGCGTTGAAGGGCCCTGCTGCTTTATGACATAATTTCGGATAGTCCTCCCAAACCGAACCTGTCCAAAGAAAGTTTATAACAATTAAGATGCCAAAGTGCGACAAAACCATCGCTTTACGATCATCAAACAGTGGAAACACTGAACCGGTCAGGGACAGAACGGACAACATCCGCACGCGCAAACATTAAGGGAACAGGGGAAATACGCTAGCTTAAATAAAGCTTCCATGTTGGCAACCGAACGGTGACCGAACAAATCCCCAAAAAGAGCGTGAATAAAAAATACTTGAAACACAATACAGACTCGGGGCTAGCATAAAAGAAAGCTCCCGCCGATATGACCCTAGCAAAAATGCGCCAGACCGTCTCGCCCCTCTAAGCTTAATGCTTCTTGGATTCGGCATGTCACAAATTAAGCCAGCCAGTTTCCGACCAAAGCCGACAACACTGAGTAGAAAGCCTTTGTCGCACGCGAAGGACTCCTGTCATTTAGACAAGGTCATTTAGTCCAGTCTTCCTCATCCATACCTGGCCCGCAACTGATCGGCTCCGGTGACACGAATATGTGCACCTGACTCGCAACTTATCGGCCCCGGTGGCACGAATGTGTGCACCTGACTCGCAACTGATCGGCTCCGGTGGCACGAACGCGTGCACCTGACTCGCAACTGATCGGCTCCGGTGGCACGAACGCGTGCACCTAACTCGCAACTGATCGGCTCCGGTGGCACGAACGTGTGCACCGAAGTGCCAACGGTGCACACCCTGGCTGCAACCCCGATCAAATCAGAAGATGACGTCACACCGAATGAATCATGAAGCTCCTCACGTTCTGCGCCACACCAAGAGTCCTCCAATAAGACAGTCAATGGCTAACCTTGGTCAACGCTTTCAACAAACAGGAGCGACCATTTGTCCATGGCTGTTGCCATTCATTGCCAGCATCTGTATGAGATGCACCGGAAGCAGGACCACGAAAGCCTGACCCGGGTCACGCTGACAAAGTCGGAGTCAAGGGAACGCCACTAAGCGACAAAGAAGTATTAGGTCCACACTCAATCCCCCTTTGCTTTGCGTTGCTCGCTGGTTTGTGAACACTTCGCTTGGTACATACAGGCCTGGTTTGACCTGTGCTTCAGCCTCAGTACTAGGCTGGATCCATTATAGTCTCATCATATTTTGTGTAAAACCTGCACCTTTGGAGTATCTTTATCCATATATGGTGTGCGATAATTCTAGGAGTGTTTTCACGTGGTGCCTGATATTTTTGTGTTTCACTATGATTCGAGGACAGGGCGTAACAGCACCATGCACACCACAAGCGTGGCTCCGGTATACAAACGACAGATACGTTTTCTGTCAACAGGAAGAGGGTGTGGCAGTATTTCCAGGCCGCTCAACATACATATGCGGAGAAAACCGGGACCGGATTTACGGCACCGATCAAGTGGAAGCCAGCATCAGCCGGCAGTCGCTCCTGCTCCGAGCCCCACCATCCGGATGACGTCATTGAAGAAGGATCTGCAACGTTATGTGGAAGCCGTCCGCGCAGAAAGCGCCGCCGGGAGACGTGAGATGCGCCGCCCGTCATTTATGAAAGAAATGGCAACTCGACGGACTTCGTGAAACAGAAGGCCACCGGCCCGAACAAAACTGGAGAAGACACGTCCGCAACAGCACCAGCCACTTTCAGCATAGTCCTAAACAAGAGCAACCTGTGAGATTACATGAGCACGGCAAGGCAACCGACCGGAGTCCAGAAGTCCAGCGTATCAGATCACGTGCGGTCGGAAGGGGAACTGAAGGAGATGAGGAACACCGGCCAGCATGGAACGAAGTACCCATTGTCGACACAGGGCCGTGGTGGTCATTACGAAAGACCGGGAAAACAGCGCGCATGCCAACTCACCTCTAGTGAACCTAGCGCAGACGTCAGGCCAGCATGGGCTGATGTCGCAAATTGACGGCTGCAGTCGAAGCACCCCCAAACCAAACAAATATCATGATCAGTCGAGCATGACTCCATGTGTGAACGAAATACAACACAAAAGTCAGGGAGATAAATAGGAGAGCTTCTAAAGCGTGACGAGCATTTCTCTTCGGTAGTCTACCCGTTTAATTTCAGTATGCGAACAGCTAGGTTGAGAGCTTGGAGTTCGCAGTTAATAGGAACTTTCCGCGCTTAGATACGGAAATGTTTATACGCCAAACTCAAACATCCTCATGCTCTTCTTAGGAATAGCAGCATATAGTGCCGGTCGTAGATAGAATCGGCAGAAACGTTGCGCAAACCGTGACATCATTGGGTAGAACAAGAGCCCGAATGGATTTTCATCTCTATACCATCGGCATATTGACCAAATACTAACCTTGACATGCAGCAAATGCACGGCAATACATGAGTACGTCATTTCCTGCATGAAATAACCTCCGTAGAATGATCATGAACCACCTTAATCAACACCAGATGTTTTCAGGTCGGCTGCCAGACTTAGGCACTGAGCCAGGGGGGGGGGGGGTGGAAGGTGGATTCGGGATCCATTCTAACTCCCTAAGGAACGAGGTTTACATTAGACGCTGAGTGATTTCGCAATGCTTCAGTGCGACTTTGCGGGAGTTTGGTCAGAGCGTGTCTTTCCCCGACGAAAACTCTGGTTACATGCCTGTCCGGGCTGTCACCGCTTCTATGCAATAGCAGTGAAGGCTAAGACCCATCGGGGCATGCCACCGCTTCTATGTAATAGCAGAGAAGGCGAAGACCTATCGAGGTGGGCTGTCGTTCACTTAGATGTTCAACGGGCAAACAGACACATCAAAAACACTCACGATCAGTTCTCGCCGGGTAGATGCTCCTCTCGATAACCAGCTTCCTGACGAAGTAGGAGGCGATGCCGGCGCCGATGAGCAGCAGCACCACCAGAATGAGGAGAATCCAGACCCAGACGGGGCAGACGCCGCAGCGGCGGCCGCCCTTACGCGGCGCTTGTCCCTCGCCCACCGCAGCCAGCTCGTACCGGTTTCGCGCCATCTGACCTGAGGAACAAGGCCGCGGGTCAGGTCAGCAGGACTTAATCAGTGGTCAAGTCACCAGATGCAGCTGCCGATCAGATCACGCGGACACAGCCGCTGGTCGGATCGCCAGGCACAGCTGCTGATCAGACCAACAGACACAGCTGCTGGTCAGATCACCCGGACACAGCTGCTGGTCAGCTCACCAGATACAGCCGTTGATTAGGTGAGCGGCACATGGTCCCTGGTCCCGTCATGTCATTAGATACAGCCGCTGGTCAGGTGAGCAGCACATGGTCCCTGGTCACGACACGTCATCAGATACAGCCGCTGGTCAGGTGAGTGGCACATGGTCCCTGGTCCCGTCATGTCATTAGATACAGCCGCTGGTCAGGTGAGCAGCACATGGTCCCTGGTCCCGTCATGTCATTAGATACAGTCGCTGGTCAGGTGAGTGGCACATGGTCCCTGGTCCCGTCATGTCATTAGATACAGCCGCTGATCAGGTGAGCGGCACATGGTCCCTGGTCCCGTCATGTCATTGGATACAGTCGCTGGTCAGGTGAGCAGCACATGGTCCCTGGTCCCGTCATGTCATTAGATACAGTCGCTGGTCAGGTGAGTGGCACATGGTCCCTGGTTCCGTCATGTCATTAGATACAGCCGCTGATCAGGTGAGTGGCACATGGTCCCTGGTCACGCCGGCAGGCACAGTCAGCTCAGACATGGCTGCTACAATGTTACGGAATAATTTGAATGACGTCATCGGCGTACGCAAGGTTTTGCAATAGGCGTATAGGCACAGCTTAAAGGCTTTCACTGAAGTGGGTCTTCAGTGAGCAGAATCAGTGCATACAGCAGAGCCAGTGCATGTTGAGCGCACCACAGACGCGCGAATTTCGTTGCATGGCGTAAAACAGCGTCGCGCATTCTTCATCTACATATTTTCACGTGTCGACTCGGAGCTTTTTATTTATTTTTCAAACATTTGTCTGATGACCATGTTTGGTGGTTAAGAGCACGTCGGCTATTTGGGTCATTTTGCGCCTTCGTCACCTTTTACTTACATGTGCTATTGAGGTGAGTGTATCACAAGGAACCTAACAACAGTTAAAAACAGCATGGTCATTGACCTATAAGCGATGCCAAGGTTACTCCGCGTCCAAGAAATGCTGTCTCTCGGCACATAGCGCAAGTTAAACCAGTGCATGCCTGACAGCGAGGACCTCGCCGCATCTGTCACATGCAGGGACGTCGGCTGTGTGGCTCAGTCGGAGACGAGTGCGTGCTTCAGGCATGACGAGTGAGTGTGGCTGTTTCTTTTCCTAGAGTTGCGAAGTGAACGCGGCCAGCGTCCTTTCTCAGGTACGATGACTTTGAGCTTGTCCTGGCTGCTCTTCTGACCCCACATTGTCTGCCATTCTGTTGTAACGTAGAGTTTTATTGACGCGTACAGGTCGCTCGTAGGACTCGCACGGCACCGTTGGGCGGCAGCAGCGTGGCTGCCTTCACAGCCTGGTCAGCCGATCCGTTTCCGGCCAGACCGACGTGGCTGGGGATTCAACCAGCTCTGCCTGCTGGCCCCTGTGCCGCAGGCTGGAGAGCTTACTTGCGATCAGCTTCGCTAAATACGCGTCTTTCGTCGATATATTCTAGATACATGATGCCGCGCTGAGCAAGCCAGCAAATGCTGTGCACGACGGTAGATTACGTCGCAAAATGCAGTCCAGACAGTTCAGAACGGTGAAAAGTTCAGCATGAAACATGGAGGCCGATGATGGTGAGCAAAAACTTTCAGAGCCTCGAGACGACACGAGTGCGCTCCCAGTACCCAAGTTTGTTCTGAATCCATCCGTGTATAAGTGTGCGGACCGTTTGTACGTCATATGCATGAGCTTGTGAAATTCTTGCCCCGGCTCAGCAGCGTGCGTCGATCCCTTGGGGAACCTGGTGAGTGATGTGTCATTCGGTGCACGTCTGATCAGGCGTCGTGGAGCCACTCACAGCTACACATAGCAGTCGTGTTTTCCCTGTACTTCCCTGAGAAAAGAATCGCATGAGATCTATGCAGAGGACCATGCCGTGTGCTGGGAGTGTGCGAAACTCGTATATTCTGATCGAATCGCATGAGACCTGTGCAGAGGACCATGCCGTGTGCTGGGAGTGTGCGAAACTCGTATATTCTGATCGAATCGCATGAGACCTGCGCAGAGGACCATGCCGTGTGCTGGGAGTGTGCGAAACTCGTATATTCTGATCGAATCGCATGAGATCTGTGCAGAGGACCATGCCGTGTGCTGGGAGTGTGCGAAACTCGTATATTCTGATCGAATCGCATGAGACCTGTGCAGAGGACCATGCCGTGTGCTGGGAGTGTGCGAAACTCGTATATTCTGATCGAATCGCATGAGACCTGTGCAGAGGACCATGCCGTGCGCTGGGAGTGTGCGAAGCTGGTATATTCTGATCGAATCGCATGAGACCTGCGCAGAGGACCATGCCGTGTGCTGGGAGTGTGCGAAACTGGTACATTCTGATCGAATCGCATAAGATCTGCGCAGAGGACCATACCGTGTGCTGGGAGTGTGCGAAACTCGTATATTCTGATCGCACCCCGTATGGCTAAAGAGCGGCACCTCAGGCTCAAAAGGTGGTTGGCTGGCGTCTGCCAGCAGGCTCGCACCGGTTGATGCGCAAATGTAGTTGGCTGGCGTCTGCCAGCAGGCTCGCACTGGTTGATGTGCAAAGAGCGCCAGCGACGATGAGAATCTCTTGAAGATGGATGCTGTCCAGCATCTTCTTACTGCACTCGCAGGCAAGTGTTGTCGGACTGGACTAAGCTGTGCATATATAGTCGAGTTTGGACCCTGTCAGTGAGCATGATCGGCATGCTCAGCATACAAAGCATACAGCATGATTATAGTTTTGCGGTCTCCCCATGCGTGACACGTGAGGCCACATTCAGAGCGTCTGGGCTTTAAAGCACTTATTGCAAATATACCTTAAATGACTTAGGTAGGTAAGATGACGATCGAAAACCAGACCCAAAAACCTAAATCTATCAGCTGTCGGGACAGTGCAGGCTAACCCGTGGGCCACTGCAGGGTTTCTTCTTTTCGCGCAACAGCACGCACGCTGTCTTTGCCGTTGATAATGTTAAACCGATCAGGGAGCTCCACTCGGTCACTTTATCCGCCCAGAGCCAGATCTGACGCCCCTCTGATGCCACGTCATCCCCCAGAGCTGGATATGACGCCCCTCTGATGCCACGTCATCCCCCAGAGCCGGATCTGACGCCCCGCTGATGCCACGTCATCCCCCAGAGCCGGATCTGACGCCCCTCTGATGCCACGTCATCCCCCAGAGCTGGAGATGATATTCTACTGATGCCACGTCATCCCCCAGAGCCGGATCTGACGCCCCTCTGATGCCACGTCATCCCCCAGAGCCGGATATGACGCCCCGCTGATGCCACGTCATCCCCCAGAGCCGGATCTGACGCCCCGCTGATGCCACGTCATCCCCCAGAGCCGGATCTGACGCCCCGCTGATGCCACGTCATCCCCCAGAGCCGGATCTGACGCCCCGCTGATGCCACGTCATCCCCCAGAGCCGGATCTGACGCCCCGCTGATGCCACGTCATCCCCCAGAGCCGGATCTGACGCCCCGCTGATGCCACGTCATCCCCCAGAGCCGGATCTGACGCCCCGCTGATGCCACGTCATCCAACCAGAGCTGGATATGATGCTCTGCTGATGTCGCAGTATCCACCCAGAGCTGGATATGATGCTCTGCTGATGTCGCAGTATCCACCCAGAGCTGGATATGACGCCCCGCTGATGTCGCAGTATCCACCCAGAGCTGGATACGATGCTCTGCTGATGTCGCAGTATCCACCCAGAGCTGGATATGATGCTCTGCTGATGTCGCAGTATCCACCCAGAGCTGGATATGATGCTCTGCTGATGTCGCAGTATCCACCCAGAGCTGGATATGATGCTCTGCTGATGTCGCAGTATCCACCCAGAGCTGGATATGATGCTCTGCTGATGTCGCAGTATCCACCCAGAGCTGGATATGATGCTCTGCTGATGTCGCAGTATCCACCCAGAGCTGGATATGATGCTCTGCTGATGTCGCAGTATCCACCCAGAGCTGGATATTGATGCTCTGCTGATGTCGCAGTATCCACCCAGAGCTGGATATGATGCTCTGCTGATGTCGCAGTATCCACCCAGAGCTGGATATGATGCTCTGCTGATGTCGCAGGTATCCACCCAGAGCTGGATATGATGCTCTGCTGATGTCGCAGTATCCACCCCAGAGCTGGATATATGACGCCCCGCTGATGTCGCAGTATCCACCCAGAGCTGGATACGATGCTCTGCTGATGTCGCAGTATCCACCCAGAGCTGGATATGATGCTCTGCTGATGTCGCAGTATCCACCCAGAGCTGGATATGATGCTCTGCTGATGTCGCAGTATCCACCCAGAGCTGGATATGATGCTCTGCTGATGTCGCAGTATCCACCCAGAGCTGGATATGATGCTCTGCTGATGTCGCAGTATCCCCCAGAGCTGGATATGATGCTCTGCTGATGTCGCAGTATCCACCCAGAGCTGGATATGATGCTCTGCTGATGTCGCAGTATCCACCCAGAGCTGGATATGATGCTCTGCTGATGCCGCATTATCCACCCAGAGCTGGATACGATGCTCTGCTGATGTCGCAGTATCCACCCAGAGCTGGATATGACGCCCTCGTAATGCCTTGGGGATGCCGCAATCCATGTGGCTAAATCGTGCACAAACAACGAACGACCGACGTGCACAGGGGCATGTCCCCGATATAATTTATCATGAGGGCCAACAGTGCCACGCTTAATACTTCGTCCTGTGGAACACCGTTGCTAGCGGGAGTATTCCCAAATAGGTGCTACTGACCCGAGTTCTAAAAGAGCAGTCACCAGGGCAGTTTGCCAGAAACCAACCCATGTGCGTGCACATTTATTCGCGCATATA